GCTGATGGCTCAGGGCTGAGTCCCTCTTCAGGTACAGCCCTCTGCCAGAAGTCTTGTCCAAGGTTTTGCCTCCTCCCCAGAGGCATCCAAAATCTAATGACTCCTCAATAAAGGGGTACAAAGGGTCTGCCCCCTTCCTTCAATTCTGGATGATTCTGAAAGGAAATCCCAACTTCAGAGCCTCCTGTGGGATTGTCTGAGGCCTTTATTGTAAATTGTTCACAGTTCGAATTCTCTCTCTGCCCAAACCTGCTTCCATTTTTCCATTACGGGTGTTGTTCCCAAGAGAACACCTCAATAATTCTCCTGCACACAAATCTCCAACTCAGGATCTGTCTTCCTGGGAACTCAACCTAACATAGATGGTACTGAAAGTGCTTCTGCAAACTAGGCTCTAAATTTTGGAGCTGGATCCCCCGCCAGCTAGCTGCTAGTGAGAGCCCCATCTCTGGAGAGTGGAATACTGACAGCACCTCGCTTGGAAAGACCAAAAAACTATCTACTTACAATATCACCTCCAATCATCATCAGTGAGGTGAGGAAGGGAGTCTCATATTTGTTAGTCCCGTAACATCATATCACCTCACAACAGTAATGAGTAATCATTATCATGGTCATCATCATCATCACCATCATCATAGCTAACATTTGTTGAGCATCTACTATGGCTAGATTTAATGCATCACATGTGTCTTAGTCATCTAGTGTTGCTATAACAGAAATACCACAAGTGGATGGCTTTAATAAACAAATTTATTCTCTCACAGTCTAGGAGGCTAGAAGACCGAATTCAAGGTGCCAGCTCCAAGGGTAGGTTTTCTCTCTTTGTTGGCTCTGGAGGAAGGTCCTTGTCATCAATCTTCCCCTGGTCTAGGAGCTTCTCAGCACAGGGACCTCGGGTCCAAAGGAAGTGCTCTGCTCCTGCCTCTGCCTTCTTAGTGGCATGAGGTTTCCCTCCTCTCTGCTTGATTCTCTTTGATATCTCAAAAGAGATTGATTCAAGACATAACCTAATCCTATAGATAGCATCCTGCCTCATTAACATAACTACCTTTAATCCTACCTCATCAACATTACAGAGGTTAGGATTTACAACACATAGGATAAATATATCAGACCACAAAATGGAGGACAACCACGCAATACTGGGAATCATGGCCTAGCCAAGTTGACACACATTTTGGGGGGACACAATTCAACCCATAACAACACGTATTTCATATTTAATCCAGACACCAATCCTGAAGTAAAAAAAAAAAAAAAAAGCTATTTTCTCTATTATATCAATGAGGAAACTGAGGCTCCAAACACATATAGCTAGTAAAACTGAGATTAGAATCCATCTGGATGGTTTTAACTCTGTGCTACGCTCCAGCATACGTTAGTGAAAACGTTTCAATGACATCTTGTGAGCTTTCTCTTTCAAGTTATTGAAAGCCTTGTGCTTTTAGGCAAGGGGTTAAGACAAGATCTAACTCATTCATGAAATCATGCAGCATTCATTCATTCACAGTTAATAAGAATCTTAAGAATATCATCAGATAGCATACCATGTAATTGTCTTCTTTAAAAGGCCTCAGCTTTTCAAACAATTCAAAAGTATTTTCCTCCTATATATCTGGGAATTTCTTTTCATTACTTGGTATGGCACTTTAGATTTATATTAATAATGAAGTTTAACCTCATACATTTCATCTTTCTTTTAAAAATACTTTTGCTAAATTTGGGGAATTTGGGACATGTGAGTTTGATAAATATGTTTATATATGAGAAAATAATAACAAAAAAAGGAAATGACTAATAAATTTATTATCTAGATGAAAAAAAAAATCTTCTACATGCCAGGGAAAATGAACAAAATCCACTCCTAGTCCTCAAAAAAGTCATAATCTAGTATGTTGTTGTTGTTGTTACACTGCCCTTGAGTCAGTTCCAACTCATAGCCACCCTGTAGGACACAGTAGAACTGCCCCACAGGGTTTCTGTCTTAGTTATCTAGTGCTGCTGTGACAGAAATACCACAAGTGGATAGCTTTAACAAAGAGAAATTTATTTCCTCATAGTAAAGTAGGCTAAAAGTCCAAATCAGGGGAAGGTTTTCTCTCTCTGTCGGCTCTGGAGGAAGGTCCTTCTCATCAATGTTCCCCTAGACTAGGAGCTTCTCCGAGCAGGAACCCTGGGTCCAAAGGATGCACTCTGCTCCTGGCACTGAGGTCCCCCACCCTCTGCTCACTTCCCTTTCCTTTTATCTCTTGTAAGACAAAAGGTGGTGCAGGCCACTCCCCAGGGAAACCCCTTTACATTGGATCAGGGATGTGACCTAAGTAAGGGTGTTACATCTCACCCTAATCCTCTTTAACATAATCTAATCTTGCCTCATTAACCACAGGCAGAGATTAGGATTTACAACAAATAGGAAAATTACATCCATCACAAAATGGAGGACAACCACACAATATTGAGAATCATGACCTCACCAAGTTGACACATACTTTTTCGGGACACAATTGAATCCATGACATTCCATCCTTTGGCCCCCCCCCAAATTCATGTCCTTGCCACATGTAAAACACATTCATCCCATCAGTTTCCAAGGAGCAGCTGGTGGATTTGAACTGCTGACCATTTAGCTAGCAGCCAAGCTCTTAACCAATACGCCAGTATAGTGGCCTTCGATTTTTCTTTCTTTTTTTTTTGTCTCACACTCCTATTCAGTGGAAAATTTTTCAGGATGCCCCCATGTGTATTTATTTACTTATAGATGGCATAATGTATTGCCATAGCAATACATATTTACAAAATAAAAAGATTTTTTAAAATGAGATAAAGATTAAATAATGTTTTAATAACTTTTTAATTGTAATAGCATTATACTATAAATAGGGAACAATTTCTCAAATCATGATATATACTTAGGATGAGGTTCATTGTTAAGTAGATGTAAATTCATATTTTAGAGACATCTACATAATTTCAACTTTTTGACAACCTTTCTGGCTGACTGGACTATACTGCCATGTTTTTATTTCACAATATATACTAGATATGTCAGATCTACTGTTTCCTTGTTCATTTATGCTTGCATTATGAGATTATTTTATATTTTCAGTTTCTTTGCAGGAATCTTTTAAAACCACTTTTCTATTTTGTGAAGATTAGCATTGATAAAATTAAGTAGTATATAATCTACTTAACTGGGAAGCCACTAACTGGTCAACAAGCTGACAGTAAGCAAAAGAGCAAAGATGTTATTTATAACCTTCTGTGGTATCAAATTCCTCCCTCAGGCCACATGATGTACCAGGAGTGATACATGACTGTCTGACAGATGAACCAGGTGAGAAAGCCAATGTCAATCTATAAAATATCTGTGTGAAATAGTTTCTTTTATTGTTTTGTTGTTGTTAGGCATTGTCGAGTCGGTTCCAACTCATAGTGTTGGTATGTACAACAGAACGAAACAGTGCCTGGTCCTGCACCATCCTCACAATCATTGCTATGTTTGAGCCATTGTTTTAGACATATAATTATTAGTTTTAATGTTTTCTTCCTGCATTCCATTGGGTTGTCTTGTACCCCAGAGTGTATAATGACTAGCATAGAAATCAAATATGCAAGCAAATAATTATAATAAAGTACAAGAAACACTCTCATAAAAATATGGAGTGCTGTGGATTGTGAAAGCATGGCCAAGATCACACCTGAGTATGGAACTATGAGTATGACTTTGCCAGATGGAAAAATGAGGAACAAGGACTTTCCTAGAAGACAGAGTAGAATCTTCAAAAGAATGGAGATGTGAAAGCACAAGGCTTTTCAGGGAACAGTGAATGAATACCTGAACTACATCCCCAACTAGTTTGTTATTGCCATCGAATAGATTCTGATTCATAGCAACCCTACAGGACAGAGTAGAACTCCCCCGTAGGGTTTCCAAGGCTGTAAATCTTTATGGAAGCAGGCTGCCACATCTTACTCCCACACAGCAGCTGGTGAGTTCAAATGGACGACTTTTTGGTTAGCAGCCCAATGTTTAACCACTGCGCCACCAGGGCTCCTTGAAATGATAATATTCTATATTAATTTAAATACAGTTATTATTAAATTAATTGTACCCGTATCTTCTTACGTTTTTAAATAAAACTACTAGAATATTTCTGTTGGACAGCACTGCTCTATACCATGCAAATTATTTACAGAGTTATAAAACAGAATGGGGAGGGCGGCAGGGGAGAAGTTAACATTTATAGAGCTCTCTTTCCTTTAACATTATATCTTGTACTTTTCTTACAGCACATGTCTAAATCCACTTTTATTATTCAGCTAAGTATACACCAAACTTATTCCTACTATCAGGTTGCAAATCTGGGTCTTGGAAGACTTTATTAAGAGTTTTGCACAGAATAAGAGTTCAATAAGTATTTACTAATTTGAATTCACTCATGCTAAAACTGTGTCCCAACCTAGGTATCCGCGTGTTTTTGTTTTTTTAAAACATAGGACTTCGTGCAGTATATTAAATTTTCTCTTGCTATAGCTTGGACAAGACTGCCACCTCCTGGAAAAGCTCATAAATACTAAGGACTGAGATGCACCTGCAGGAGCGCTGGTCGGTTTGAACCCACCAACCGCTTCACGCTCCACGCTCCACGGGAGAAACGTTGCAGTCCGCTTCCGTAAGGAATACAGCCTTGGAAACCCTATGGGGTAGTTCTATTCTGTCCTATAGGGTCGCTATAAGTCAAATTGACTGGAAGACAATCGTTTTTTTCGAGGTCCACCCATCCACTTGGGGAATTGGTACTACGAAATTGTACGCATCTCAACGCCTACTCCGTCTCTCCATGAAGTTAAGCCAATTCTTATTCTCTCACAACTTCTCTGAATAAGTTTTTGCATAGAGCTAAGACTTCAAAGAAATTGCGCATCAGTCTTTTAAAATTTAAATGAAATTTAAATTATAATGAAAACTAACGTTTGTAGCGCACTTACCATGTGCCGAAAGCTTTAGTTCTTAATCCTCGCAACAGACTTATGAAGTAAGAACTATTACTATAAGCATGAGGAAATTAAGTTTTACAGAATTTAGCGCGGCCAGGCCCTAACACGGAAACACTACTTAGAGTCAAAACTCCAGGGACTCCAGAGAGCAAACGCGCTCACACCCTACATGGGCATGCGCGGAAAAAATCACTAAAGCAGCTCTCAGGGAAGGGGTTGGGGGCGGAGCTTCTAAGATCCCAGCATTCCCTTCGTGCCGCCACCAAGATGGCGGCGCCCGTGCTATGTTGCTTTTTCCGGGGCAGGTGCTTCGGTACCCCTGGCTGGTTAACAGTTTTACCCATGGGGCTACGAAAGGCCCATTCGGGCCCTCAGGGATTGTTGGCAACGCAAAAGAAACGGGGACTGTTCAAGGAGTTCTTTCCGGACAAAATTACGGAGACAGAGCTCCCAGAACTCTTCGACCATGGCACGGCGGGCAACTTCCCCCAGACTATCTACTGCGGCTTCGACCCCACGGCCGACTCGCTTCATGTGGGGCATCTGCTGGCGTTGCTGGGCCTGTTTCACTTCCAGCGAGCGGGCCACAATGTGATCGCGCTGGTCGGAGGCGCCACAGCGCGCCTGGGGGACCCGAGTGGCCGCACTAAGGAACGCGAGGCGATGGACGCCAAGCGTGTGCAAGCCAACGCACTCGCCCTGCGCCGAGGGCTGGAATCACTGGCGGCTAATCATCATCAGTTCTTCGCAGATGGGCGTACATGGGGCAGCTTCACAGTACTGGATAATTCCGCTTGGTACCAGAGCCAGCATCTGGTGGACTTCCTGGCGGCGGTGGGCGGACACTTCCGCATGGGCACGCTCCTTAGCCGGCTGAGCGTCCAGACCCGGCTCAAGAGCCCTGAGGGCATGAGCTTGGCTGAATTCTTATACCAGGTGCTCCAGGCCTATGACTTTTACTACCTGTTTCAGCATTATGGATGCCGGGTCCAGCTGGGTGGATCTGATCAGCTGGGCAACATCGTGTCCGGATATGAGTTCATCCACAAGTAAGCGCTTTTAGATTCTGGAGAAATCCTGGGTCCAAACAGTTTACTCACGAATAGCTTGTAGTGCAGTACCGTCTTAGAATGGAAGAATGATGCCCTCTGTTCAAGCCCTTGTTGGTTTTAACCCCATTGAGTGTCTTTAATATAACTGGCTAGTGAGAATTGAAGCGTTGACTTAATGGTATTAAGAGTAAGGGACGTATTCTAAAGCTCTTTAAGGAAATAAACTACTTGTCAACAATCAGATGTAAGAAAAAGTTGTGGATTTTACCTCTTTTACCCAAGTAGCTCTCCTCTCTGTGTTTCTGATTTGCGAAACTGGTTTGTTAATACTTGAACGTGACTGGGCCACCTTGATTGAGTGGCCCCTTGCCTTATCTCTGCACCCTCAATGAAGCTAGTGTCAGTGTTCGGTTGGCGTCTCAAGAAAAAAAATTTCTCAACTCCTAATATTTGGCAAGTAACGTAGATAATAATGGCGTTTCCTTGAGGGAGATAAGAGTACAGAGCTAGGGCATGTGGTGCACCGCAGTACTTAATTTTAAGATCCTTTTAGAATATCTCCTTTAATGTCTCTTCCTGACTCCCCTTTCACCCAGTTTTCTCTCCTTCCCACCCAGCCTATAAAAAAATCTTTAGACCCTGCTTACACAGCACGTCCCCTTGGCTTGCCCACAGGCACTGGTGTACAGTTGCAGTTCAAACTGACAAATAGGGTGCGTACAGAGTGCTGTGACAGCACTTCAGAGGGGTAAATAATCCAGATTTAGGAGATCAGGAAAGTTTTCTTGGAGTAAATGACCAGCCTGAAATCTCCAGGGTGAGTAGTGGGACCTACCACTGCTTGTACTTGAAGCACATAATGAAATAATGAAGTTTTCCTTTATGCATAGGTTGACTGGAGAAGACGTATTTGGAATCACCGTCCCCCTGATTACAAGCACAGCTGGAGCAAAGTTGGGAAAGTCAGCCGGCAATGCTGTTTGGCTAAACAGAGATAAGACATCTCCATTTGAATTGTATCAGTTCTTTGTCAGGCAGCAAGATGATTCTGTAGAAAGGTGAGTTCTTAATAGTGTTGAGAAAAATTAATAAGCTCATGATATAATTTTAGCCTTTGAATCTCTATATACCTTTTATAGTCTTTTTTTACTTATGTTCTATTTAAGGCAGAAATCATTATCTCACCAGAACATTATAATTAATTGTTTTTCTTAATACTTTTAAAAGTTTCCATTAAAAAATGTCTTTTTGGTAAAGGTGCGAGTTGAGGAGAGAGAGAAAATACTGCTCTCTTTTTTTAAATTTTATGTGGTAAAGTACATATAACATAGAAATTGTCACTTTATCAGTTTTTTAAGTGTACATTTCAGTGGCATAAATTATATTCACCGTATTGTACAGTTATCACCACTGTCTATTGCCAGAGCTTTTTTTTTTACCACTCAAAACGAAAACTTTGTATTCGTTAAGCAATAACTCCCTTATGTCCCTCTCCCCTCAGCCCCTGGTAACCTATAATCTTCTTTCTAGTCTCTATGAATTTGCCTATTCTAGATATTTCATATAAATGAAATCATATAATATTCTTTTGTATCTGGCTTTCACTTAGCATAATGTTTTTAGGATTCATTCATACATCTGAACTTCATTCCTTTTTATGGCTGAATTATATTCAGTTGTACGTGTATACCACGTTTTGTATATCCATTATCTGTTGATGAACACTTGGGTTGTTCCCACCTTTTGGCTATTGTGAATAATGCTGCAATGAACATTTTATCTGTTTGAGTTCTTGCTTTCAGTTCTTTTGGGAATATACCCAGGCGTGGAATTGCTGGGTTATGTGGTAATTTTATGTTTAACTTTTTGAGGAACTGCCAAACTTTTCCACAGTGGCAGCATCATTTTATATTCCCACCACCAATGCATGAAGGTTACAATTTCTCCACATCCTAGCCAAGGCTTTTCCCCCCGCCCTTATAATAGCCATCCTGGTGGGTGTGAGTAGTATCTAATTGTGATTTTGATTTTTTTCCCTAGTGACTTATGATGTTGAGTATGTTTTCATGGGCTTATTGGCCATTTGTACATCTTTGGAGAAATGTCTATTAAAGTCCTTTACCCATTTATTGATTGAGTTGTAAGAGCTCTTGATATATCCTGGGTAGTAAATCCCTATCAGATGCATGATTTGTAAATATTTTCTCTCATTCTGTACGCTGTCTTCACTTTTTGATAATGTCCTTTGATACACAAAAATTTTAATTTTAATGAAGTTCAGTGAATCTATTTTTTCTTTAGTTGCTCATGTTTTTGGTGTCGTATATAAGAATGCATTGCCAAATATAAGGTCCTAAAGATGTAACACTATATTTTCTTCTAAGAATTTAAGGATTTTAGTTCTTGTATTTCAGTCATTATTCATTTTGAGTTAATTTTTGTATATGGTGTGAGGTAAAGGTCCCACTTCATTCTTTTGCATGTGGCTATCTGGTTGTCTCAGAACTGTTTGTTGAAGAGACCATTTCCTCCATTGAATGGGCTTGACACCCTTGTCAAAAATAATTGGGCATAGATAATGGGTTTATTTCTGGATTCTCAGTTCTATTCCATTGGTTTATATGTCTGTCCTTATGTCAGTATTACACTGTAGGAAATACAGTAAAACATAATTTTAACTGTCTTCTAAAGAACAGATACGTTACTAAAAGCAGAAAACGATTGTACTTGCTAGAAAACTTAGAGCCAAGTTTGTGACCTACATCGAGTAAGTCTTTTACTGTGCCACTTGCATATTCTAGTTTCTTCACTCTTTTCATTTTAAACTTGACTATTCTTATTTTCCATTCGTCTCTGTTCTCTCACAAATGTGACTCTAGAGTTCTTTTTCTTTAATGGAGCATAAAAAAGCTATAAAGTTTTTTTTTTTTTTTTTTTTTTAATGATTTGTCGTTGCTGTCAGGTGCCTTCAAGTTGGTTCTGACTCATAGAGACCTTGTGTACAACAGAATGGAACACTGCCTGATTCTGTGCCATCCTCACAGTCATTGCTATGCTTGAACTCATTGTCCAGTCACTGTGTCAGTCCATCTCACTGAGGGTCCTCCTCTTTCGCTTACCCTCTACCAAGCACGATATCCTTCTCCAAGGACTGGTCCCTCCTAATAACATGTCCAAAGTATGTGAGATAAACTCTCACCATCCTCGTTTCTAAGAAACATTCTGGCTATACTTCTTCCAAGACACATATGTTTGTTCTTCTGGCAGTCTGTAGTGTATTTTAATATTCTTCGCCAAGATCATAATTTAGAGGCATCAGTTTTTCCTTTTCTTTATTCATTGTCCAGCTTTCGCATGCATACGACGGGATTGAACACACCGTGGCTTGGGACAGGCACACCTTAGTCCTCAAGATGACATCTTTGCTTTTTAACACTTTAAAGAGGTCTTTTGCATCAGATTGCTCAATGCAGTATGTCGTTTGATTTCTTGACTGCTGATTCCATGGGCATTGATTGTGGATCCAAGTAAAATGAAATCCTTCAGTATTTATCAGGATGTTGTTTATTGGTCCAGTTGTGAGGATTTTTGTTTTCTTTATGTTGGGGTGTAAAACATATTGAAGGCTTCATCAGTAAGTGTTTCAGGTCCTCTTTTCAACAAACAAAGTTGTGTCATCTTCATATTGCAGGTTGTTAATGAGTTTTCCTCCAATCCTGATGCCACATTCTTCTTCATATAGTCCAGCTTCTCAGATTATTTGCTGAGCATACAGATTGAATAAATATGGTGAAAGATACAACCCTCACACACCTTTCCTGATACTTAAACTACGCTGTATCCCCTTGTTTTGTTTGAACAACTGCCTCTTATACTTTAAACAGGTTCTTTATAAGCACACTTAAATGTTCTGGAATTCCCATTCTTTGCAATGTTATCCATAATTTGTTATGTTCCACACAGTCGAATGCTTTTCCATAGTCAACAAAACATAGGTAAACATCTTTCTGGTATTCAAGCCTTGAGTTGGAATATTGAAGGATTCTATGGGCAAAATATTGAATGATGCAGAAAGCATCAAAAGAAGATGGAAGGAATACCGAGAGTCACTGTACCAAAAGAAACTGGTTGATGTTCAACCATTTCAGGAGTTAGCATATGATCAAGAACCGTATTGGAAGTCCAAGCTTCATTGAAGGCATTGGTGAAAAACAAGGCTCTAGGAATTGATGAAATACGAAATGAGATGTTTCAACAAACAGAGGGAATGCTGGAAGCACTCGCTCGCCAAGAAATTTGTAAGACAGCTACCCGGCTAACCTACCGGAAGGGATCCATATTTTTGCCTATTCCAAAAAAAGTGATCCAGCAGAACGCGGAAATTATCGAACAATATCATTAATATCACATGCAAGTAAAATTTTGCTGAAGATAATGCAAGAGTGGTTGCGGCAGTACATCGACAGGGAACTGCCAGAAATTCAAGCCAGATTCAGAAGAGGACATGGAACAAGGGATAAAATGATTTATTTTCTCATTAATTCACATTGCCTTAAACTCTTAAATAAATTAATGAGAAAACAAATACATCGACAACAAAGAGAAAGTGAATTTTTCAGAAAATACCATTTTTGGTACTGTTGTATCATCAAAATACTTTAGGAATAATTCTAAAAAAATTTTTTTTTAATGTAAGACCTTCTTGCAGAACATTAAAAAACTGTTGAGTGAAAATAAAGATGACCTATATAAATGGAGAGTTATAGGACAGAGTAGAACTGCCCCATAGGGTTTCCAAGGCTATAATCTTTACAGAAACAGACTGCCACATCTTTCTCCCATAGAGCAGATAGTGGATTCAAACTGCTGACCTTTCAGTTAGCAGCTGAGCACTTTAACCACTGTGCCACCAGGGTTCCCTGTGTCATATTTATGGTATAGAAAGATTCTGTTCTGCTCAATTTAATGGACATATCCAATGCAGTTTCAATTCATATCTAAACAAGCTTTTTTTGTGGAGCTTGACAGGCTCATTCGAAGATTTACATGGAGATGAAAAGGCTAAGATTGGCCAGAATCCTCACAACTGGGCCAATAAGCAACCTCATAAAAAAATGGAGAAAATACTGAAGTTGTCAAGGATTTCATTTCATTTGGATCCACAGTCACTGCCCATGGAAACAACAGTCAAGAAATCAAACGATGTATTGCACTGGGCAGATCTGCTGCAAAAGACCTTTTTAAAGTGTTAAAAAGCAAAGATGTCACTTTGAGGACTAAGGTGTGACTGATCCAAGCCACGGTATTTTCAGTCACCTCATATGCATGCGAAAGCTGGACAATGAATAAGGAAGACTGAAGAAGAATTGATGCCTTTGAATTATGGTGTTGGTAAAGAATATTGACTATACCATGGACTGCCAGAAAAAGGAACAAATCTGTCTTGAAAAAGTGTACCCAGAATGCTCCTTAGAAGCAAAGATGGCGAGACATCATCTCATGTACTTTGGACATTTTATCAGGAGGGACCAGTCCCTGGAGAAGGACATCATGCTTGGTAAAATAGAGGGTCAGCGAAAAAGAAGACACTCTACAAGATGGATTGACAGTGGCTGCAACAGTGGACTCAAACATAGCAACAATTGTGAGGATGGCTCAGGACCTGGCAGTGTTTTGTTCATAGAGTCGCTAAGAGTCAGAACCGACTTGAAGGCACCTAACAACAACACTACCACCACCACTTCTCTCATACTCAGTTTGTATCCTCTTTATTTGGACGGGGCAGGAAGGATTGCCCAACAACAAGATTGGCGAAAACATTTTTAAAGAAGAGAGTGGAAGATATCATGCCTTATTAGAATACTACAGTAATTAAGAAGCCCCCCCCCACCTTAGATTTATTCCTAGGGTGTTGGATGATACAGCCCTGGGGTTTTAATGTATCAAGAACTGATCTGTATCTGATCACCAACTCCACAAGGGGGAAGGAGAACCAAGATCAACAGCCCAAGGCTGATTTCTATGAGATGGAGGTCAGAGACGCCTCCTTTCTCTGCCATCTTTACCAATTCTGACACCAACCGTCTCTCCCACAGCACTCTCTACTGGGTTTGATAATTCATTGTAATGGCCACACAGAACTCACAGACCATACTCATAATTACGGGATTTGTAGGGAAGTAACAGTTACAATTCAGGCTCAAGAATACTCAGGATACAGTTCTTCCATCAAGATAGCCTCTTCCCAGCTGTGCTCACAGGCATACCTCTCCTTGGCCCTCAGTCTTGGCCCAAAGGCACTCACCTTTCTCTCTCTATGGGCCAGGAAGCCCACTGCGCTGTCTCCTGCTGTCATGTCTCTGCTGCTGAGTCTCTCCTTCCTTGGTGGTGGTGGGCAAAACCGACCAGTCCTATTGGTGGGCCACAATTAACCTATCAAAATCATCTGGGTGGGTATTACAAGCCCATGGCTAGAAAGGCCACACAAAAAAGTAATTAATTCACCACAGATACCTTTTTGAAAATTTCATTTTCTGCTTGGTTCTTGTGTATAGAAGTAGAATTAATTCCTACATATTAACCCTGTATTCAGCAACCATGGTAAATTCACTCACTAATAATCCCTAGATTTTAAAATACAAGGTTAAATAAAGAAATTAGAGAATCCAGACAGATGCAAGTATATATGGTTATTTGATCACTGACAGAGATACCACTGCAGAGCAGTATGTTAAGACAGTATTTTCAATTTGTTGGAATAATTGTGTGTATATATGGGGCGGGTGGTGAAACTTAATACCTACCTCACACGGTACACAAAGATCAACTCCAAATAGATTGTAGACCTAAATCTATAACAAAAAACAAAACAATAAAACTTTTAGAAGATAATATGGAAAAATCTCTTCATGACTTTGGGATAGGGAAAGATTCTTAAATAGGACCCAAAAGGAATAGACTGAAAATCAGACAAAATTAAGATCTACTGTTCATCAAAAGTCACATTAAGAGTGGGAGAAGATACTTTCAATACATGTTACTGATAAAGAGACTGTATTCAAACTAATATAAAGAATTTCTGTAAGTCAATAAGAAAAAGACAACCCAGTAGAAAAATAGGGAAAGACTTTAGCAGGCACTTCATAAAGACCCTGTCCAAAAGGCCAGAAATGTGTGAAAAGGTGCTTAACTTTATGGTATTTTTTTTTCCCCATACAAAAATTTATACATACACTGTTATGTGACTCTAATTGCTTTCCCCATACTGTGACAGCACACTCCTTTCCACCCCTGATTCCCCATATCCATTCAACCAGCTCCTAACCCTCTCTGCCTTCCCATCTCACCTCCAGACGGAAGCTGCCTGTTTAGTCTCTTGTATCTACTTGAGCTAAGAGGCACACTCCTCACGAGTATCACTTTATGTCCCACAGTCCAGTCCAATCCCTGTCTGAAGAGTTGGCCTTGGAAATTGTTTTAGTTCTGGGCTGATAGAGAATCCAGGGGCCATGCTTTCCGGGGTTCTTCCAGTCTCAGTCAGACCATTAAGTCTGGTCTTACTAGAATTTGAGTTCTGGCCCCCACCTTTCTCCTGCTCCATCCGGGATTCCTTGTTGAGTTCCCTGTCAGGGCGGTTATTGGTATAGCCAGGCACCATCTAGTTCTTGTCTCAGGCTGATGAAGTCTCTGGTTTATGTGGCCTGTTCTGTCTCTCGGGCTATTACTTTCCTTGTGTCTTTGGTGTTCTTCATTCTCCTTTACTCCAGGTGGTTAGGACCAATTGATGCATCTTGAAAGCTTTCAAGACCGCAGATGCCACTCACCAAAGTAGGATGCAGAACATTTTCTTAATAAGCTTTGTTATGCCAGTTGACCTAGGTGTCTCCTGAAAGCATGGTCCCAGACCCCTACCCCTGCTACTCTGTCCCTGAAAGTGTTTGATTGTATTCAGGAAACTTCTTAGCTTTGGTTTAGTCCAGTTGTGCTGACTTCCCCTGTAGTGAGTGCTGTCCTTCCCTTCACATAAGATAATTCTTATCTACTATCTAGTTAGTAAATAACCCTTCCCTTCCCTCCCCACCCTCTTAACCATCAAAGAATGTTTTCTTCTGTGTTTAAACATGAAAAGGTGCTTAACTTTAATGATGCAAGAAAAATACAAGATAAAAGCACAATGAGATACCACAAGACACCACTATACACCCTCCAGAATGGCTGAATACGAAAGAGTTGGCAATACCAAGTGTTGGTGAGAATGTTCTAGGGTGAGAATGTTCTAGGGTAGTGGGAGAGTAATTGATAGAATCACTTTGGAAAATATTTGGGAGTATCTACTAAAGCTGAAGATGCACATAACCATGTTTAGCAGTTCCTTTCCTGGGTATATACCCAAAAGAAATCAGTGCATGTGTGCACCAAGAGAAAGATATGGTGATATTCATAGCAGCATTACTAGTAATTGTCCAAAAATAGAAAAAACCCAAATGTCTACAATAGAATAAATACATTATAAAATATTCATACTATAAAACAGCTGCAGACACAACATAATGAGGTACCAAAGAAGCCAAACACAAAAATATATTTTGTGTGATTCGTTTATATAAAGTCTAGAAATAGGCAAAACTAAGTGATACTTTTAGGGAGCCATACTGAGATGGTAAAATTAGAAAGAAAAACAAGGAAGTATTACCATAAAAGGCAGAGTAGTCATTCACTGGGAGAGGGTGAAGCGTAGTGATACATTTGGGCTTCTTTGAGTAGGGGCAATGTTGTATTTCTTTTTTTATTGTACTTTAGATGAAGGTTACAGAGCAAATTAGTTTTGTCATTAAACAGTACATACATTGTTTTGTGATATTGGTTACCAACCCCACAACATGTCAGCACTCCCCTTCTTGACTTTGGGTTCCCCGTTACCAGCTTTTCTGTCCCCTCCTGCCTTCTCATCCTTGCCCCTGGGCTACTGTGCCCATTTAGTCTTGTTTTGTTCTATGGGCCTGTCTAATCTTTGGCTGAAGGGTGAACCTTAGGAGTGACTTAAGTACTGGGCTATAAGGGTGTCCGGGGGCCCTGCTCTCAGGGTTTCTCTAGTCTCTGTCAGACCAGTAAGTCTGGTCTTTTGTTTTTTGTGAGTTAGAATTTTGTTCTACATTTTTCTCCAGCTCTGTCCGGGACCCTTTATTGTGATCCCTGTCAGAGCAGTTGGTGGTGGTAGCCTGGCATCATCTAGTTGTGCTGGACTCAGTCTGGTGGAGGGTAGGTAGCTGTGGTCCATTAGTCCTTTGGACTAATCTTTCCCTTGTGTCTTTGGTTTTCTTCATTCTCCTTTGCTCTAGATGGGGTGGGACAAGTGCTGGAGTATCTTACATGGCTGCTTACAAGCTTTTAAGACCCCAGAAGCTATTCACCAAAGTAGGATGTAGAACATTTTCTTTATAAACTGTTAACGCCAGTTGAGCTAGATGTCCCCCGAGACCATGGTCCCCAGCCAGTGTTGTATTTCTTGACCAAGGTGATAGTTACATAAAAATGTTTGCTTTATAATAATTTATTAAGCTACATGTTTGTGATTTAGATATTTTTCTATGTGTCATAGTTCACCAAAGAAAAGATTTAAAAAGAGGTTACATACAAAATATTTATGTTAATTTCTAAATTATACAATACTCCTTGTTTATGGGTACATGCACATAAAACAAAAGTATAAAAACATGCTTGGGAAAGATATCCACAAGTTTAGATTAGTGGCTATCTCTTGGGTAAGGAGAGGAGTATGATAGGGCTGGGGGCTTCATCTGTATCTATACTATTTTATTTCTTTAAAAAAAGGAAAGATCTGAAACAAAGATGGCAAAATATTAACATCTTCAGCCCGGATAGTGTGTGCATGGGTGTCTGTTACATTGTTTTCTGTATATTTTTATGTTATATTTCATATTTAAAAATTGTAAAAAAGTAAGCAGCATGTTTAAAGTGTAAAGGAGCTGGAGATAAAAATTAGGTATGTGATATAAACGTAATGCTTTATTTTTTGTCCCTAAGGTACCTGAAGCTCTTCACTTTTCTACCCCTTTCAGAGATTAACCACATAATGCAGCTGCATGTCAAAGAGCCAGAAAAGCGGGGTCCTCAGAAGCGACTTGCTGCAGAAGTAACAAAGCTTGTTCATGGGCGAGAAGGGCTAGAATCTGCTAAAAGGTAATCTTTTAGAATACATTTCATGAAGTTGTTTGATAGACTTGAGAAAATTTGGAGCCACACTGTTTTAGGGTGATCTTGTCATTTAGCACTGATAAGGATTGTCAGTGTTTGACTTAAGTGCTTTAAAATAGCCTCTTATTTTGAAAAAAAAAAATCCTAAATTAAGTTTATAAATTATAAAAGATAGATGTTACCGTTTCAAAAACTTGCAGTCTGAAACAAAGTGCACTCCGTAATTGGTTATTGCGTGTTATAACATGTATTTTAATAAACATTCATGAGTTGGCTCTCAATTTGTTTTTCAGGTGTACACAAGCCCTTTATCATAATAGCATAGATGCACTGGAGGTCATGTCTGATGAAGAATTAAAAGAGTTGTTTAAAGAAGCTTCATTTTCTGAATTAGTTCTTGACCCTGGAACAAGCGTGCTAGATACTTGCCGCAAAGCGAATGCCATTCCAAATGGTCCCCGAGGGTAAGATTATTTAACTTTTAAATTCACATCTAATTCAGCATTGAATGTTAAAATTCACAGTATGTCTTTTCAGAGAGGGTGTTTTCCTGATACTGCTTTAATGGCATCTCATTCCTTATGGAAGTTATTCAGAGAATAAAGTGAAAACTGACAATAGTTATTGTTGAAAATCTTAATTTTTCTATACAGTAGTACTGTACTGTCTCTCATTAAGTCCAACCCAGTCGTTTTCCTCCAGCATTGGAAGAGGCTTGCATTTAAGGGACCACATTTATAGACTGGAATCAGTCAGCTCAGGGAAATGGTTTGAGAAGATTACAGAGTCCCCAGGTGAACAGATTCACACCACTTCTCTCATACTCAGTTTGTATCCTCTTTATTTGGAAGGGGCAGGAGGGATTGCTCAACCTCTTTAAAGTATTAGTGACTTTCTAAAAGTAAAATAAGCATATGATCTAACTTCCTAAGACTTACTATAAACTACATGTTATTCTTCTTGAGAATTTTATGTTTTTCTTATTCATGAAGTAAGTAGAATATTTTAAATCCTCAATTATGTGGTATTATTAGGGAATAGGAAACCCTGGTGGCGTAGTGGTTAAGAGCTATGGCTGCTAACCACAAGGTCAGCAGTTTGAATCCACCAGGCGCTCCTTGGAAACCCTATGCCCTTTATGGTTGCTATGAGTCGGAATTGATTCGATGGTAGTGGGTTTGGTGGGGTTTTTTTGGTATTAGGGAATAAGGTGTTCCACAAAAAGTATTTGGTGTACATAATTGATGCTTATCCATTTATAAGTGAACAGTGTGATGCAAAAGGGAAAGCATTAGTCAGAAGACCAGGGTGCTTCAGCTACAGGAATTTGAGCAAAAGTCAAATAGTTATCAGCCCACAGTCGTTATGAATGACATTTGTTATATTATGGGTACCGTTTCCTTTCAGTTAGCCCTGGATTGCTTTATATTTAGAGCATCCATTATCTCCTTTTGCATCATCTGCCACTCCACCTTAATGATTCCCTAATATGCTGGTTTATTTAATATACACTGAATTTGTGGGTGGTGTAATGTATCTCCCCTACAGTGAGTCACTGGTTCTAAGAATTTTTCTCACTAGAAGTGTCTTTCATTTTCTTCTAAACTTTCTTAGTGATTTACTTACTAATACTGGAAGTTTTACTTCTACTTAAGATGACACCATGTTTAATTTAGCCAGAGTGTTAATACTGACATTTTTTAGATTTAAGTTGTATAAGCTAATAGGGTTGGTTTTGTGTATTTAAACAAAAAGTAGAACATGATCTGAAACTGTGGCAAACAACCTAAAATACTAATTCAAAAAAAAAACAAAAGTCTGTTCTTCACTGAAAATCTTTTACTGTTGAACTTCATAAAACTACGTAGAATAGTTGCTTCTTAATGTCATTTGGTGACATATTCAGGTAAGAGAAACCACATTTGCCTTTCATAAGAACTTCCACACCATTCATGCTCAAATCCTCATTTTTTCTCAAATCTCACCTCTTTGTAGCTACTCCCATGTTTCCTTGCCCTGTTTTTGAAGGTAACTGTTGCTCACCCTCCCAGTTTGGGTGTCACATCCACCCAACACTGTTCCTAGAGCAGCCTCTCCTGGCTCTTTATAGCACTTTTCACAGTGTTCTAATTGCCATTTATTGTACTGGATTGCTTCGCTAGATCCCAATACTGTTTATGTTTAGCACATAGTAAGAGCTCTGTAAATGCTTATTGAATAAATTAGATAATGTTAATAACTTCAATAAAACCTATTTCCTTTGCATAGGTCATCAAAAAATAGATCAGCTACTGAATTGCCATTTCTAAAATCGGCCAATCTCATCTTTAAGGAAACATTTGCTTCTTTTATTTTACTACAAAATTTGCTGTTAATCTGTACAGTTTGAGAATATAATTTGCAAGGATTTTCCAGTTTCATAAGCAAGTTTGCTAAAGATTACTGTACATAACACTATAGTTGTGACTTTTATCTTTTGGGTAGCTTATTAAAAGCGGCATTGTTGTCTTTAATTTTTGGAAATTTCTTTTCTATGATTTTCTTTCCTTTTTTTTTAGGATTGGGGGAGCTCTGCAGAAAGTGATTCTCCACTACCAACTAAATAGTTCTGTCAAGAGCTGTGAGATATTCCAGCTATTTTTCTCCACTAAATGCATAAACTTACTATTCCGTAAATCTGCTCCCTTAGAAGAGCATAAAGGGGAGGCAGAAATAGAGTGAACATGACTAATTCAGGGCTAAGTGGCTTGGAGAACCTCTGAAATTTAAGTGGAATTATGCTGTATCTGTATTATTGGGATAGGTTAACTACGAATGAATTTATCTAGTTTCTAAACATTTCTATTTTTAGGTATCGGATGATAACAGAAGGCGGAGTCAGTATAAATCACAGACAAGTAACAAATCCTGAGAGTGTTTTAGTTGTTGGACAACATATTCTCAAGAATGGACTTTCACTGCTTAAAATAGGAAAAAGAAATTTCTACATTATAAAATGGCTTCAGCTATGATGAAAAATCCTCTGGTTGTTCAAACCAATTTTATCCATCATTTATTCTCAAGATATATGAAAGGTTGGCTCCAGAACTTAGACCTTTACTTATGTAAATCAGAAAAACAGAGAATGGAGTATACTCTAGGCCTCACAGTGAGTAATTTCACTATTTATATAAGTCGGTTAATAATAAGGTGGTTGTGTGATGATGGAATATTTTATTTCCTGGTCCACAAACATTAAGGACTGCTATAGAAAACCAGGATTTTCAGAGTTAATCTTTTTTAAAATAAAAATTAAACTTTATGAAAGACTTAAATGGTATCTTTTCTACCCTACTCTTCTTGCTCTCCTTTTGGGAGTGATGAGGAGGAACAGTGAAAAAGAGATAGTATAAGGAATTATGGATACTTTTATATCAGGTGTATAGACACAGCAACTGGTTTAGATTTTATATCAGATATGGAACATTGATCTCACTAGTGTTACATAGTTGTTTTAAAACCAGCAGCACCTCTAGTGTCCACATTATAAACAGAATATCTAGTATTAGAAAATTGTAAATTTCTGTTGATTATGTTCTTGTTGTTTAGGAAGCAAATATAGTTCTACCTAAAAAGGAGAAAAGCGAGATGAAGCCATAGTTGGCATTAGAAATTATAGTAGAAATAGTTTCTTTCCAAATAAAAGAACAAAAATCAGTTCTTGACCTTTCACAAAGTTTCTACTTCAGTTTTCCATTCCCTTTCCCGAATTTCAGTATATTAATTCACAGCCTTGTTTTATTAATGGATTACTAAGGTAGCAGTATTTTATAAATTTGGAAACTTTGAAATTAGTTTTAAGTTTCAACTTCTGTCCCAAGCAGATTGCAACTTGACATAATCTGAAAAATTAAGTAACCGGAGAGTTAAAAAAAAAAAAAAGAGGCAAATAGTGTACCAAATATCCAGTATTAGTAAGAAGATAAAAAGATACACAAGTAAGGGACGTTTTCAGGTCAAACTTAAAGGATTTGGAATCAAGACTCAGTTCAGCTCTACATACATTAGGTAAATTAATGCTCCAGAACTGTTTTCCACACCTATAAAATCAAAGTAATAGCACCCCCATTTCCCTGAGGATCAAGTGAAGCACATACCAAAATACGGTTCACAATCAGATTTCTTCTAGAAAATCTTATAGGCAGCAAAGCAGGTAGTAAATTCTAGCCATTTACTACCTGGATTACTTGGAGGAAGTCACTGTGTCCTCATATACAAAAATGGAGATGTAATCATATCTCAGTGAGCTGGAGAATCTAATAGGAAAACAGTCATAAAACTTTGGTACAGTTTAAGCTGTTTTGTTATTTTCCAAAGTAGACTCAGATGTTAAAAGTCACCTTTCTGAAAGTAAACTTGAAACCAGTTTTCCTTAGGAAGTATTCATTTATTGACAAACATCAATGTCATTTCATACCAGCAATTTTATTTACAGAGCAACAGCATACAGGTATCCATTATAAATGTCAGAGATGTCAGAGGCCATCTTTACATTTCAGAACTTCACTCAGTTTAATGACCAACAAAGGAAAGTATTCTTCCCTAACTTTTTTGCCTCTGTTTTTCTTTGTACAAAATGTAGTATTAGCAAGAACATTACCATAGCATGTCTTTAAAGCTAACATTTTCAAAATCGAAATCTGTTCGATATGCTGGAGAAAGGTACATTGTAAGACTTTTTTCCTTACAAATCCAAAAGGCTAGAAGGCCATGACATTGGTAGACAGTTAATCTACTATCTGAAATAAGTGAATGGCCATAATTTGAAAACTGATATTTAATATCCTATCTGGGTTTTTTGAGATCAGTACTGAGCTTATTGTTTCTTAGTAAATGGGTACCATAAACTTAACAGAACATACTCATATTTTCACTGCCAATATCCTTCATAACTATCTGGTCATAACTTGAAAAGAAATTTTATTATCTGCAATATACAGTTTGTTTACTTAAGGTGTTATCTGTTAGAGAGATGGAGCTAGATGTCTTGTAGATTTCTACCAGTATCTTAAAATCTATAATGTAAATTATAGATATCAAGAATCACCTGGAAAACTTTAATAAAATATTGGTATGTTCTAAACCTCCAACCCCAGCCCCTGCATGCGATTCAGTAGTCTATAGACTTTAGGAATGTGTGTGTTTGTATGTTTTTCTTTAAATAAGTTATACCAGTTTTTCTGTAACTGTTCTGCACAAGTAGCTAGTACCAACCAATACCTCACAGAGGGAAGAAGACAGAATAATAACCTAAATGATCAGAAGTTATTTGGTTTTCAGTCCCGCCTCAAAGTAAGTCTTGGGAGCATGGTGTAAGTGCCCCATTTTAAAGATGTATCTTGATTACTACTACTGTATTTGCAAACCAAAGGGAGTTTAGGTCATCACTGAAACTTCTAAAAACTAAAAGGAACTGGTCATCATTATTAAATCCGACTAGTCAAGTCTAGATGGTTGTTTTTAAGCAGGAAATTGTAATTCATGCTTCCAAATTTAATTAAGAATCAAAGAATACTGTAACGTTTAATGCACTAGGGCAACATGGACCCAGAAGTGGAAGGGCTATGTAGCTAGCTGCACATTATGTACACCCCATCACTTTCAATGTTCTTATGCATTCAGCTTTCTTACTAACACATGAAAGGCTGCAGAGAATCTCAAAAAAAAAAAAAAATAAAGACAAGTGGAAAACAGTGACTCTATGTGAGTAGCTTGTCAAACCACATCTTTCAAAGCCAGATCAATTTATACAGCACATGCATTATAGTTGTATGAAATGTTGTCTTGGTACTTTCTCTTGAAGGACTATGGCAGCAGCTTTAAGACAAGTGACAAAGATTACGTGGGTCATCTTATCCACAGGCCGTAAACTGCTTGTACTACTAGGACATTAACAGTTCTTTTCATGTTCAAATGAAACTGTCCCAGACAGACTTCATGTATTTTATATATACTGGAAAACTTTAGAAGTAGCCATTTATTATTTGGATTAAATGTATGATTTGTTCTGCGATACAGAGTACACTTTTCAGTTTATAGCCAGTCTTCACATGAGCAGATTCATACCACTGCAATATACAAAGTCCATAAATAAAAGTCTACTGAAGTAGGCAGTAACTAGTGAGTTGAATCAACAAAGTCTCTAGCATTATCTAGATCTCTTCACCAAAGATGAGTTTCTCGGATTTCAGCAATAATTTGACTGGCTCCTTGTAATGCCTGCATTATAGAAGGTAGAAATTAGAAATGCTTATTAAGTCATGATATCAAGGAATCTGAATTATGTGAGGCAGTCTCTCCAATTTATATGTGGTAGATTTATACTAACCAATTTCTTCTCTGGAATTTGAATCTGATTAATCCAGTACCAAAAGAAAGAAAATTAGCTATCATATGTTGTTGTGTACCATCAATTCAACTCTTGACTCACAGCAACCCTGTAGGACAGGGTAGAACTGCCCCATAGGGTTTTCTAGGCTGTAATCTTTACAGGAGCAGATTGCCAGGTCTTTACTTCTGCGGAAATGTTGGTGGGTTCAAACCACCAACCTTTTGGATAGCAGCTAAGTGCTTAACTGTTGTGCCACCGGGGCTCCTTAGATATTTTATATACTTATTTTAAATATATATACATATATACATACATACACTTATATGTATGTATGTGTATATGCACTTATGTATGTATATACCGTATTTTTATGCAAATAATGCACGCTTTCTACGTTTGTTTGCCACCCGCACCCTCCCACCAGGAAGTATTTTCATAAGTGCCGCTATGCCAATTTTTTTTTCACATGTTGCTATAAGCGTGCTTATAAAAATACCTCACAGGCAAGGATGTGGTTGGCAAACAAATGTAGAAGGCACAGATTATTTGCATAAAAATATGGTGTGTGTGTGTATAAACCTGTTGCTGTCGAGTCAGTTCTGACTCATAGCGACCCTACAAGACAGAGTAGAACTGCCCCATAGAGTTTCCAAGGCTGTGATCTTTATGGAAGGAGACTGCCACATCTTTCTCTTGTGGAGCAGCTGGTCGGTTCAAACCATCGACCTTTTGGTTAGCAGCCTAGTGCTTAACCACTGTACCACCAGGGCCCCTATATACCATATATACACACAATATACACACACACACAGTACAGCTATAATATAAAGACCATACATATCCAAAGAATCAGAATGCATTTTAAACAAAGAATATTTATATAAATGTGTTGTATCTGCAACCCAAGTGTGAAAATTTTTTTTTAAAATCACAGTAATACCTTTAGCATATCAGCTGCTTCTTTCCTACGCTGTGCCATGTCCTCAGATTCAGTCAGAAGATCATCCAATAAGGATGATTTATACAGTTGTCCTACTAACTCACTCTGAAGAGTATCTTTCACATGATTAACCAAAAAATGCATTACTGCCTTTGGCACACTGCAAAACAAAACAAATCTATGACATTATGGCAAACATTCTACTTTTTAAAATTTGCGCTTAGGTCCTGACCTCATAAAATAATAAACTGAAGAACACTTTACTACTTTGGACGTTTCCTTACTTAAGGATATTAATGGCCCTTCAGATTTTCACTTAATTACAATCAAATGTTTTTTAAGAAAAGCCACAAGTCTTAATTTGTCAATTCTTAAAATGAAGCATTTCCCTTGAGTCTTTTTCCTATTTCCCTTCTATCTCATCTATCATTATTGCCTATATCAAAACTCTACAAAGAACATTAGTCATAATAGACAAAAAGTAGAAAAGACCCAATGTCCATCATTTAGTGAATGAATCAATAAAACGTGGTGTGTATCCACGCAATGTAGTGTTCAGCCATAAAAAGGAATGATGGGCTAATTCATGCTATAAACATGGATGAACCTTGAAAACATTATGCCAAGTCAAAGACACAAGACACAAAATGCCACATTTTTTGGAATGGAATATTGATGAATCCATTTATATGAAATGTCCAGAATAGAGAAATCCATAAAGACAGAAAGTAGATTATTGATCACTGGTTGCTAGGGGATGGGGAGGGGGCAAATGGGAAGTGACTGCTAATGGGCACAGAGATTCTTTCTCCTTCCTGTTGCCGTCGAGTCGATTCCGACTCACAGTGACCCTGTAAGATAGAGGAGAACTACCCTGTAGGGTTTCCAAGGAGTGGCTGGTGGATTCGAACTGCCGACCTTTTGGTTAGCAGCCACAGCATTTAACCACTGCTGTTCTGGAATTAGTGGTGATGGCTGTATAACTTTGTGAATATACTAAAAACCACTGAACACTGCATTTTTAAAGGGTAAAAGTTTATGATATATGAATTATATCATTAAAAAAAAATCAGCAGAGGAGACAAAAACAAGGGCCTGGAAAATTTTCTTCAGGCCACAGTGTAAAAAAATTATTTCTACCACAAGCTACAGGTTAAGTGATTCTATAGGCAAAATCATTGATTTAATATGAAGTATTAGATATCTGGCTTTTACTTTTCTGTGCAATAAATTTCTCTTAACCTGCTAACAGAGTACTAGAAGTTGAATACAGAATATTTTCTAATAGAATTAGATCACTTCACACAACTAAATTTTTATTCTCCCTATCTTACTGCATGAAATGACATCACAGGCAATAAGGCAATATGAAGGAGAAGAAACACTTGGCAGTGAACGCATGAGAAGACATCCTGAATTAGAATGAAGAAATAAAATATATTTACTAGCAAAAGACATTTATTTTGATAACTTTGTAGATCCAAGTCAAGTAAAAAGCCAAGGCAATAGTATCAGCCACAATAATTAATAAAACTACTAAACTGAAACTTAGAAAAAACATTTTTCTTAAATGACTAAAAATGTGGCAGCCAGAAGAGACAAGAGAATCTCTCATTTCTTAATAGCTTTCTCTACCTGACATATTATGTCCTAGTCATTCAATGTTAACAGAATATCGAAGTCTTAACTGCAACTGTGACCTAAAGACTAACAGATAATCTATTTGATTTAGAATAAAAATTTACCTAAAATGTTAAATATACATCTATTTTCAAAACAAATCATGGAATCAATAATATTTTAGTCTGTGATTTATATTAAGTAATACTAACCTGTCTTGAATATTCTTTCTGACAATAAGAAAATATGATTTGATGAGTCGTTCAATCACCTCACAGTCTCGCTGTTCACGGGCAGATAGTTTTCGTGCAACAGGAACTGGCTAAATGGGGTAAAGGGGATATAAAACAATTTTGTACCATTTTAAAATGACAAAATTTAAGAAGTCAAAAGTTAAGTAAAAATTTGAGACTTGTAGTTCCTTTTCTCTTTTGAAATGTTTTCCCACTAATTTGGTCATTTTATTAGTCCCTAACTAAATCTTCATGTCTTACCACGTCCAGCAGATTCACAGCATGGCCTTTTTGTGGACTAGCTGGCATAACTGGAATTGGTTTTGTTTTTTCTTCAGCTAATAATTCTTCAGCTTTAGAAGTTTTCAACATTCCTCTCCAGTTACCCGTTGCTGGTTCTTGAACAGCATCTCCTACCCCACCACCTCCAGATGCAACCTGAAAATAACAGATGTATCAAAAGCTATACCAACTGTATCATATCTGACATTAACACTAAACAAAAGATCATTTTCTTCAACAGTAGTCAAGGAGAACCACGTACCCAGTACCCATCTGGAGTTTAATCTATTCAGATAGATAATGGGATCAGAGAGATATGGTGGTTGGAATATATAACTGGAACCCTGAGCTCTCTAAATAAAGAGGTTCTATTGTAGACTGTTTGCAAGGCTTCCGCCAGTTAGGTCTTATATAATTCCTTTCTTTCTTCATTGTTATTTGCTAACTTTTCAAAAATTTTTATCTTCTCCCACTCCTCAAACACTAGATTGTGGGGAAAGTTTAAGTGCTCATAAAAACAAGATGACTCATTAAAGCACAAGGAAAAATAGAACTGCTATTCAACTGAATTTCTTCAAAATAACCTCAAATGCTATTGCTGAGCTATGTGTGATCTCTCAGAAAATTTTTATGAACTGTCTACAAACATAAGAATTTATGTATTTCTCAAGTTGGTTTATATTTCTAATGGTGAACCAAAATACCATTGGATAAAAGTAGAAACTCTTTTATAAAAGAAAGAACACTACACTCACTATTCTGAGCTGTCATGTTAAGTTGCCTAGAATGTGGACTGTGACAAAGACAACATAAATTCCCTCAGTATGTCAGTTTTTGGTATCATTCTGAATTGAAACACTGGCCAGAATTTGTCTCTGTTAATTAAGGTGAGCTACATCTATATAAAGGCAATATTATTAATTATAATGTATACTACTATACATTAATTTAAAAATGAGTCCTTATATTTTAAATGCTGTCAACTATACATGAATGACATACCAATGAAACCTTAAAGAAAGTGAATACATTCAGTATGATGCTATGAGTGAAATAAAACTTGTACAACAATTTAGATGCTCCCCTTAAGCTCTGAGGATGGTGGGCTGAGAGATGATAAGACATATATAAGGCTTTATGTGAGCCTTATATCTGGACAAAAAGTAAAAGAGCTAAATGGCAGAAAAACTAGAAATAAGAATGGGTCTGAATATTTAACATACCATTTTCCCCTAAAAAGGTTATCAAGAATTGATGATTATAGTCTCAAACTCCCATAGCCCCCATTTGCTCTGAATTTGCTTAAGCTGATGAAGCACATGTTAAGCAATATATTTAGGGTGACAAGTGCAAACTAAATGGAAGCGTAAGAAAAAAGCATTAGACGATTATCCGTTAGTACTGGACAGATCTCAGAACCTTTGAAAAGGAAAAGTCCAAAAGTACACTTTCCATCTCTGAAATCTTAATTACCTACCAAAATATTAAATTCGAGACTATTCTTGAAGGTGATAGAAAGCAGTAGAAGAGCTTGTTATTGTTATTAATAAACAATGTTAAAACTAGAATTAATGCCATCTTAGAAAAGTTAAAGGAACATTAAGAATGTGAGACAGACGAGAGAGATGCCACTGTACAAACAGGTTCTTCAATGGTTTTGAAGACAGTGTTTCAGTGAGAAACAAAGGTACTAACATTTCCATTCTGAAGCAAGAGACTCACATTTTTAGTTTCTCTTCTGCTGTCCTGAATTAACTGTTAAAAGATATGTTAAAACATGCAATTTAACAAGCAAAATTTAAATATCATTGCCTTGTTTCAAAAGGTGTAGGATAATTTCCTCTTTAAATTACTTTTTCTGTGTGCATCTTCCATACTGCAAGCAAAAGCATGTAAGTTTCTTTTATGAAATATACATTGTTATATAATTTTAAATATTCCATTAAACTGAATTTTTCAAAAATGTGTATTGGGTTAAAATTATCTGACCTTAGCACAATACCCCATATTAATACCCTGCTATTCTATGTATAGTTTCCAGACGATTGGTAATAGTCATGCAGGCTTAGATTAAGAATCAGAACAGACCTTGCCATCAGCCTCAGCAGAAGCAGCAGGGGAGGGCTCCTGGGAGGCAGGTGCCAAAGCACTTGGAACTTTAGAAGACTAAAGGCAAAAAATGCAGGGAAAAAAATCAAGGATGCCAAAAATGCATTCAGATACATGTTATAAATGTGAATCTTTTCCCCTCTGTAACAAAATAGTAAAATAACGTGAAAAACAAAAGTGATCTGGGAGATAAATTAATTATGTGCCTGATTTCCTATACTCTTGTCACCTTTGTCAGAGGCTTTCTTCAAGTGAATACCTAAGAAAAACCCAAATCCAAAAACTTCATTTTTACTTTTGGAATTTCATAGATCTCTTCTTCTGGTAAAGATTTCAAGGTAAAAGATTTTTATACACAAACATTTTAACATATAAAACTATTATAGTTATTGCAGGTAACTAAAACCTCTATTATGTGTATTTCTTCCTTCCCTCTCCAAAACCCCTCCTATTATAAAGTTACTAGTAATGTCAACTAAATTTCTTTTACAAAGTTCCTGAAGTCACTATCTGTAAATTTAAAAAGGCTTGAAGCTTAAAAGCCATCTTTAAACATTTATTCCAGTGTATTCAAAAATACTATTATATTTAAATTACTCAAAGCTTATTTTAAACTTGCATACCTTTACTCAAACAATGAAATACTTCCAGTGGAGTATTAAAGGGAGAAGAAAAAATAAATTATGCCTAGATCTAAGTAATATTCTGAGATTTACCAATCCATCTGGATATTGAAATATAGTTAACAAACACTGTTTTTTACCTTGTCTCGTGATACAGCTGAAGGTAATTCTCTTGCCAGCCTGTTTCTCCTTTGTTCCTGTACAACCAAACAAAACCAAAGTCATTATCAGAGTACTGAGATATAAGCCTACTAGAAAATGTTCAGATGAACTGAAAAGTACAGAATAGCTTACAGATACATCCTCTCACTGCTGGGACTCATGCCATAATTACTGGATTTTAAAACAAAAAGGAATCATTTAACCTAATGCTTCTCAATCTTTTTTCTGTCCCAACACTCCTGAGGGATACAGTGTCAGTAACAGTGGCTCCCTATTATCAGAGATTCTCAAATGAGGAGCAATGGACTGAAATCTCCTCTCCCTGTCCTGCTAATTAAGAAACAATGATTTAAACCTGTCCCCACATAATGTGGCACATAAACCTTCAGCATACCATGTAGAATTTGAAATGCACAAATCACAGAAAACCAGCAAAACCTTTATAAGTCACTCTAGCATGCACATCTTTATATTAAATTCACACAACCCACTCACACAAAACTGGAACTTTAAAAAGTATCTGTGGTTGAGGTTATCCTGTTTTCTGTATCTAAAACTATCTCCAGGAAATAAATGTAGTCTTGAAAAATTATAGTCCTTTCTGTAACCTAATTTAATAAACGAATTGATTGCCCACTTACTAATACTATTAAAGTAAATGTGGTACAAAGCTAAAGAAACTGTGTTAAATTCAAATCAGTATGTACTGAGCACCTGATATATACCAAGCACCATGATAGGTGTAAGATTATAAAGATATAGAAGGATATAGGTGTTAATAGTGGATCTCCCACAGGCCACATCAAATATAGTAGAAAAGCTCTGAGGTTAAATAAAGTCAGAATTGTTCCTAAGTAGAAAGCATTTCATGAACACTCTCTAACTTGCAAAAAAGGTGTAAGTAACAAAAATTCACAATGATGTTTTATGTGTAAGAATTTTTTTTGGCAGAAATTTGACATACTTTCATTTTTGCATGGTAGATAATCCAGTGATAAAAAATATATATAGCAGATGATAAAAATACATGGATTTTAACAATCCTCAGAATAAAAAGTTAGCCATTTTGAAGACAGATTCAAAGTAAAAAGCAGGGAATCTGGAGACCAAGAATTCTTACCCTAGTCTGTTACCAACCATTTATGGCTTCAGCTGGCCCTGGAGCCAAACAGACCTTGTTAACTGAACAAGTTACTAATTCTTTTTAAACCTCAGTTTCCTAATCTGTTAACAGCAATATCTACCCTCATAGGGTCTTTGTAAAGATTGAATGAGAATATCCACATAAAGTTCTTTGGCACAGTGTCATTAAAACCAGAGACATACTCATTTGTAGAGAAACAGTGATCTGAAACCCTATTATCATATGTGACCTTGCCAGTATAACAGAAACTGTTCCCAACACAAGTTTTCCATGACATTGGTTTCAATTTTATAAGAACTAAATCCTTATTCTAAGGAAGTGTCTACATGCTAATTTTTAAAATAACTTATCTAGTATACTTCTGAGTGTTTTAAAGTGCCTTACTCATGTGTGCGTTCTGGAATTTTTTTCTGACTTTAGGAGTTAAACCAGCTGTGTAGCTAAATAAGCCTAAGTCCCTGTAGCTGAGAAGGGTGCTTATTTCCCATAACAGTGCCCGGCAAAAGAAGCACTAAAGTACTAGCTATTATAATCTGTGAGCCTCAGGTTCCTCACCTGTATAACCAAAGGGTTGAAGTTGATAACCCAGGCTCCCTTCCAGTTCCCAAATTCCATGTTTACAATTTTCTCTCCACCCACATGCAGAAGAGGAAATTTGATATAGAAGGGCACTCCGAGGTCTTACTGGATTGTGGAATAGCAGAAAAACTTACTGTTCTTGGATAAAAGTGGCAGAGAAAAAAATAGCATCTGGATAAATTGCTCCATCCACTAGCCTCGGCTCCTTATGAGATCTTATGCAATGTGTTATATTAACATCAAATGGAAAGCAAAGATCCATAGAACGCAGCCACCCCAGTAGTGGTGAAAAAGAGTACACCTACTCCAACTTATTGACTATCACGTTATCTGATATTTCACATTTACGACAATAATACAAAAATCTACTATCCAACTATTCTGTGCATTAATGATGTATGTCTGGCAGGAATGAAAGCCAAGGTGCGAGGGAAGAGTAATGTTGGCTGTGATGGTTAAGGTTATGTGTCAGCTTGGCTGAGCCATGATTCTCAGTGGTTTGGCAGTTATGTAATGATGTAATTTGGCAGTTACATAATGATGCAGTCAGTCATCTTCCATTTTGTGACCTGATGTAGTCATCATCCATTTTTCGCACAATGCCAGTTTTCACATCATGACCTGGTCTTTGGAACCTAACCATGTCAGTAAGTGAGGAGTGGGTATACTGTTTTTCCAAATTCATGAAAAGTTGAGTAATGCTTGGAATGTTTCCTTCACAGCTTTCAGAGCCAAATAAAAACAATTTTAAACGTTCAATTTGTTTTACATACTTCAACCTGAATAAACAGTAACAGTGGTTACTAAAGTGGAGCCAGGCAGTCCTTCAACACTAAATCAAGGAACTGCAAGATCTTCTCTGAGTTTCAGTTTCATAAGCAGAAAATGAGAATAATGCCTCCAGGTGGTTTTGAGAATTAAATTTATAGAAAATGATGTAATAGCCCTCAGCATACTTCCTGGCATAAAACAGGCACTGATACAGTGCATGTATTTTTTCAAGTTATATTTACCCCATGCTAAGTAAGTTTGATACAACTGAGTTACAACAGATTTTCTACCTCTGAAAAAGACAACTTGAATTTTATTTACCTCTATATTATTATTCATTAGCCCACAAGCATCAGCAAAGTCTGGATGTTTTGTGTTGATATAAGCCAATTCAATTGCCACTAAGTTATGGACCTAGAAAAAAATAAAATTAGGCTATACATGTCAATTAAATTTTACTTTGAGAAACTTATATTTAAAATTTATTAAACAGATAATGCTAAAAAAGACCATACAGAAAACTAATGACTAAACAAATAATAATTGTACTTCAATGACAAACCTTATACTTTAGCTCTTAAATTATTTACATTTCATTATGTAAGATTGCATTAGTAAAGGGAAAAAAAATGACATTAAGGTAGCTAGCAGTATTTTACTGTAAGGGAAAAAAATTACCTAAGTTCCAGGGCTTTATGCAAAGTTTTAGTTTCATATCAACAATAAAACTATTCAAAATCAGATATAAGTTACAGATGTTAACTTTATGTGGGTAAAGGAAACATTGATAGACCTGAAATAGAGATTGATTAGCTTTAATTATGAAGCACCTAGTTTAAATATTATGTGGTTCAAAATCCTAATGGGACAATAATAGTCAAAAGGAAAAGTTGAAATTAACTTCTCCAGCCCTCTACAGAATTGCTAAGGCTTATAAGAGAGATTAAACTCACTCCTTTACTGTGTCCTTTGCACAATCCTGACGAATCTCAGGTATCATAACAGCACTAAAAGGTCAAGAACCAGCTGAAAAAGATTTATTCAAATCAAGTTCCATCTGAATCTGGGGGTTGTGGGGGTTGTGCTTGTTAGGGAAACAACCAATCAGCAGCATTGACATTCTATACTTCCAAGGATGATTTTGTAATCTTGGTAAACTTCCATGGGGCTCACTGTCCTGAGCCAAGGACCCAAATGCACTTGTAGTAACCAGGGGAGGAAGAACAAACCAGCAAACAATTACAGGTATAAGGGCAATTTCAAATGCCTATTCTTTATTAATGCCAATTTCAGCATTTTTATTTTTGAGGATAGCAGCAACCCGCAGAATAGTAGCAAACAACCATGATATTATAGTATTAAATCATCAAACAAACAAAAGTAGAAGTGGCCAAATTACCTTGATGCACTTTACAGTTAAAAAAGGAGCTTGCTATAATGACTCAGTTTACTCAGACTGAAAATAGAACTAATTTTCCATTAGATCAGTGGTGCTACATAATAGGATTGCTATTCACAATCCTCAACAATAACTCAGTTATCATGAAAACCTGTGGCTATAAACTAAGAATGAAGAAAAAATGCTCTTTATACCCAAAATATTAAAAAGTTGCCTTTGAAATAAGATTAAAACTCAGTTTTTTCCTCCCAATACACTGGAAAACATTATGTCCAAACTCTGTAATCATAATGCTATATAAGAAGGCAGCCAAACTAAATTTTAAATTTTTACTAATAGTGATTACAATGATGATTTGTGAAATAATAGCTCACCATTTCATTTGTAACAGGCAATCTTTTACGAAGAAGACAAGTCACTACTTCGACTATGGCATCATGAAGTTTAGGAAACCGCAACAATTCCTATATATAATGGAGAAAAGAAAATGTAACTGTTAATTTATTTCATTTAAAGGAAAAATAATCACTGAAATACTGAATTAGATTTGGAAATTACATTTTATAATACTATTGCAAATCACTTTTAGAAACAGAACTACAGATTTTCACTTTTTGCCTATTATATACATTTCCTTCTACCCCCGAAACTGCCACCTCATCTCCTTCACTAGTTAATTAATCTGAAACCTGTCGCATTTCTCTCATTACCTGTGTACTGTAGTTGCTACAGTGCTGAATGATCCTTTGCATTTCCTCGTGAACCAGTTCCACACAACGGAGGCTAGGCTCTTCCAGACGTTTGATTTGCCGTTTGACCAGTAACTCAAATGAAACCTCAGGCACAAACAAAGCAGGACGTGGGCCCTGAAAAAATAAAAATTTTAAGGCTCTTATGATAGCTACATACAATTTAAGTTTTTCCCAAAGATTAAAAATAAATCACTTTTTTGTATTTTTCATGAAAAGTGGTTATTTCCAAATATGAGAGCAAAATATACAATAAATTAAAAACAAAAAAGATACATAGGCAAAAAATAATAAAGCTTTAACCTCATTTGAAAAAATTGTAGAAGTTAAAAGCATACTCACAGTAGCATTTCTAATGGCAGTCAAAATGTCAATAGTATTAAGGCCACCTAGTGGGTCAACAGATTCTAAAGTTCGCCCAAAAGTCTCATGGAAAATATAACATATTCTAGCACCGCCGCATCTGAAAGGCAATGAAGTATATGGTTTCTGATATTACTAAAAGGGAAAGAAGCTACAAGTTAGAAGTCTTTCTATAAGCTTTAAGCTTGTCTAACTTTCTAAAAAAGCCTCAGGTAAGCAATTACATTTAGATCATTCCCATTTTCATATGTTTTCAACTCCGTTATGAACCAAAAACCAAAAAAAAAGAAATAAAACCAAACCCATTGCCGTCGAGTCAATTTTGACTCATCACAACCCTGTAACTGCCCCCTAGGGTTTCCAAGGAGCGGCTGGTGGATTCAAACTGCTGACCTTTTGGTTAGCAGACAAGCTCTTAACGACTATGCCAGTTTGTTTAAATTTTTTTTTTAAATGGGGAAGGAAAGCATTCCATGAAAGGTATACGTATATACTTATATGTATATAGTAACTGTTCCATCAAACAACATCAGTTAACTAATAACTACTAAATACCTTTTCTCTATCCTAGTTTTCTTCAACTAGACTATGAGCTCCTTAAGGACAGGAAACAATGTCTTATTTCTGTTCTATTTGTAAGATAGAGCAGAAGTCAGCAAACCTTTTCTGTAAAGGGCCAGATAGTACATGTTTTAGGCTTTTGAGACCATAATGTCTCTATGGCAGCTACTCAACTCTGCCATTGAGCACAAAAGAGCCCAGAAAAAGTGTAAACAAATGAACATGTTTACATATATTGCTCTGTGTTCCAACAGAACTTTATCTGCATGCACTGAAATTTGAATTTCATATAATTGTCATGTGTCGCGACATCTTCTTTTGATTTTTTTTCAACCATTGAAAAATGTAAAAATCATTAACTGGCAGACTCTAGTTTGCTGACTCTTGGTCTAGAGACCAATTAAAATACAGAACTCTGGGCCTAGGTCTTGTGCACTTTGCATTTCCAATCTGTTTAATGCCTAGAAGCCTTAGTTTTTATTTTTTTTTATTTAAGTGCAGTTGAATCCTATAAATACCATCAGAATGTCTCCCCAAATCATCTGTTCTCTCTATTTTCACCACCACCATTCAGTATTTTCTTGCAGTAGTCCAGACAAGGGAACTAGTCTAATACAGTAATTGGTCTCCCTGCCTCCCACCTTTCCCCTCTCCAAATAATTTTCCATAATGACCAGAATTATTATCCTTCTGAAACAGGTTACTTCTCTGACCAAAAATGTTTTATTTTTTATAGTAGGAAGCTTCCCAAATTCTGGAACAAGATATTCAAGACTTCCTACAATCTTGTCCCTAGACATCTTTCCTGCCTCATCTCCTGTTATGTTCCATCACTGTACATGCCATTCTCCAAGTATACCCTCCATTATTCTTAGCTGTTAGCGAGCCTGAAAAGCCTTTCTCTATACTGCCTTCCCAAATTCTATTCAAAGCCCAACTCAAACGCCTTCTTAACTATGGAGCTCTCCCAATCTTTGAAATAAATTTAAAAAGACTCTCTTCATTGTTCTAAAAGCTTGCTTGATTAGGTGATTACACAAATATTTGCTTTATTAATTATTTATAAAGCTGGATAGATGTATGTACTTTTCTGGACATACATTGTTTTGAATAAGAAGCTAAATAAAGAGAATTGTGCTCCTTTTGCCATCTAATCAAGCCTCACATTACCGTGACCCACCTTACCCACTGAACTCCTTGAAGACTCATCTTAGTAATCTTTACTTCCCTCAATATTCCATATATTTAATAACTATTCAATAGACTGTTAAACAATCTATCTCTTTATGGAGTTAACTCATATAAAAGACCACCTGGGTCACATGAAGATACAAGACACACACATACATACATACACACACACACACACACACACACACACACACACACACACACGAGCGTATGTATAACTGGTGAAATCTGAATAAGCTCTGTGGACTGTACCAATGTCCATTTCCTAGTTTTGTTATTGTATCCTAGTTATCCTATCATATCCTATTGTTATCCTAGTTTTGTTATTGTACTTAGCTATGCAAGATATCAACAATGGGAGAGGTGAAGTGAAGTGAAGGACTTCCCTGTATATTTCTTTGCAACTTCTTGTGAATCTGTATTTCAAAATGGAAAGTTTAAAAAAAGAATGAGGGTGTATAGAAGTGAATAGTCTTATATATTGCTAGTAGTAAAACTACATTCTACTAATAGTATGGCAATACGTAATAAGACTTTGAGGATGTTTTACCCTTTAATCCAGTAATTCCACTTCCTGGAATTTGGATACATATCCCCAAAGATAGGTGCAAGGTAGTCCATCACAACATTATTTACATTTGTGTATAATTGAAAACAAACTATCAAATAGTAGGGTATTGGTTATTAGTAGGGGATTGGTTAAACAACTGTGGGTATATCTAAAAAGTAAAAGCTGTTGATATCAAGTTGATTCCGACTCATGGCGACCCCATGTGTTACAAAGTAGAACTGCCCCATAGGGGTTTCTTGGCTGTAATCTTTATGGAAGCAGACTGTCAGGACTTTCTTCTGAGGTGCTGCTGGGTGGGTTCAAACCACCAACCCTTATGTTAGTAGTCAAGCGCAAACCTTGTGCACCACTCAGGAACCTCTCTAAAGAGTAAACTACTACGCAAATTTTAAGAATGATAATATAGATGTATAATTAATATTAGAAAGTTATTTGTGATATGTTGTTTAAAGAAATTATTTCAAAATAGCATATATAGCATCTGATTTTTAAAGATACATAATACAAGCATTTATACTATAGATACATAGAAAAATGTCTGGAAGGCCAATGTCAAACTGTAGGCAGAGGTTATCTCTGATGGTGGGCTTAAGGGTAATTTTGTTTTCATTTATTCTTTTTTTACTTATTGGCACTTTCTAATTTTTTCCATGAGCAGTTATACTTCATGTATTAAAGAAACAAGAAACATTTTAAAAGTTGAATTAAGGAATATAAAAAATGCTTATAAATTAAAATCTTTAAAAAATACCTGAAATTTTTACTGTGCTTTACATAATTTATAAAGCATTTTTACATACATATCAGACAGACATCATCCTATCATTTTTACAAAATTATATCTCTATAGATGATAAATCACAATCAGATAATCTCAGAGTTACAAAGGCATTTTAACAGAAGATTAAGTGATTTAGCAATCCTGGTAACCAAATCCACAGAAAAATTACTTACAGTTCTGAAGTTTCAATATATTTTGCAGTTCCTTCAATAGTGTTACAATATTCTGTGGCAAATTTGGTAATGAGCTGGAGTAAAGTAGCACTTTTATCATCCACAGGTTCACCGTAGCTATTCAGAAGAGACTGATATTGAGCAGCTAGAACATTAATTCTTGTTTTCAACTCTGGTAAGCAATCTCTGATGTGATGCATTAGTAACCTAACAAAGGTTAGAAACAAAGAATTTTCAAGTAAAAATGTATGTTCTGAAGGCCCAAACAGGTCAAATTTTTAAAATGCAGATAAATGGAGAAAACCTGCCAAATAATTTGTCTTGGCAGGATATAATGCAGTCTTAGAATACAGGTAAATACTTAGTTTGAAAAATGACAAGAAAGAAGCTGTTTTGGTCAATGCTGTTTTAATTTGCCTTAGTCCTATCAAATTGTAGTGATTGCTAGGGAATCAAATGTAAATGAAAAAAATAATTATTTTCATATTATTGTAATGTCCTCAAAGAAAGTAAGCCACTTGATCTAATTCTACCTATATATTTTCATTTCATTGACTTATCTTTTACAGTGGGTACCCACCATAGTGAAAATTAATCTTATTAAGATCCAAGCCCATCTTAATAAATTAATTGATTTAGAGATTGTGAATAAGACAGAAGAGAAAATGGCTTTTACTCTCGTCATTTACAGATCATCTAGAAATGTCTTCCAGTCCTGATATCGTATCGGTGGGTATTCAGAATTCAAGGAATACAATTTGAATTCTACTATGAAGAGAAATAATGACATCCTAAATTAAAAATAGATTATGTAAAAATCAGAAATGTAGTTCACTTCCTGAAATCCAAAGTGGAAGTGGAATCATTTGCTATCTAGTACTATCCTTAAAAATAGTGTCAGAAATTTCATTTAAAAATTTTTAAAATTCACGTCATCATTCTAGACTATATGATTTACTGCCAACCACCCCAATAAAAACAGAGACACTATCAAGAACCTACTATAAAAGAAACCAAAGTGAAACTGTACACACGAGAACATTATGAACATTTAAAAAACTGACAATAGAAAGGTCCTAGACCCCTACTGGCAAACCAAAAACATCTCATTTTCCAAAAGGTAAAAAATGTTACCTGTTTAGAGTCCTAGCAAGATACTTCGTTCCATTTCTATTGGCCAGAGACGGATATTTCTTTTGAAGAAAAGCATATTCATCACGTATTGAATCAGTTACACTCTTTTTATTGTTAATATCTAGCTGGCTCCTAAAGTTGAAAAATAGCAAAACTGTTCAAGTAAAGTCAAATTGTGGTCCTTAGATGATGACAGTGCTGATGGTGATAATGACAGCCTAAAATTTATTAAGTTCTTGTCACACACCAGGCATTGTTCCTTATGCCCGAGGTGGATTATTTTACTTAATTCTCATAATAATTCTATGTGATAAGTATTATTAAAGGAACTGAAGCTCAGAGATTAACTAATTTACCCAGGGTTGCATATTAAGTAGCACAGCCAAGATATGAACTATATGACTTATAAATAATTAACACCTGAATAGTTTAGACTCATTATTACCATTAACTGTAGTCAAATGTAATACTCTTAAGTCAGGAATAGACAGGTACATAAATACTGTGTTTTAGTCAACTGTATCTTTTATCCACGGACAGGCAACTAATTTCTACCGAAAATATCTAAGTTAACTTGAAGAGCAGTCATCTACAAAATACAACAAATTATACAACCTGCCTGCCTGAAAAGGAAACAGTGGAATTAAAAAAAAAAAAAAAAAGTGGGAGTGTGGTAGAATGATATATTAACAGAAGCTGACAACTGGAATGGATCTTAAAGACATCATTTGGTAAAACATTTTCATTTTTAAAATGTCCGAAACCCTAAGATGTTAGGCATCCTTTAAACCCACATTATATCTAGTTTTAAGAACGGAACTAGAGCCCAGATCTTACGATGATTTCAGTGCTTCCTACTTTATAAACACTTTGGATTAAGAGAGATCTCCATTTGAATATGGCTTTGTGTCTTAGTCATCTAGTGCTGACATAACAGAAATACCACAAGTGGATGGTTTTAACGAAGAGGAGTTTATTTCCTCATAGTCAAAGTAGGCTAAAAGTCCAAATTCAGGGCGTCAGCTCCAGGGGAAGTCTCTCTCTCTGTTGGCCTTCTCATCAGTGTTCCCCTGGACTAGGAGCTTCTCTGCGCAGGGACCCCGGTCCAAAGGACACAATCTGCTCCCAGCACTGCTTTCTTGATGGTATGAGGTCCCCAATTTTCTGCTTGCTTCCCTTTCCTCTTATCTCTTGAGAGAGAAAAGGTGGTGCAGGCCACACCCCAGGGAAACTCCCTTTACATTGGATCAGGGATGTGACTTTATTAAGGGTGTTACAATCCCACCCTAATCCTCTAACATAAAATTACAATCACAAAATGGAGGCCAACCACACAATCTGGGAATCATGGCCCAGCCAAACTGATACACACATTTTTGGGGGGACATAAACCATGACCCTTTGCCTTTTACTAGCCATGTGATTTTGGTAAATGTATAACCTGAGTTTTCTGATTATAAAATAGACATCAACACCTACCTCAGAGTCGTCTTGAGGGTTCAAAGAATACCATTTGCAAATTGCTGACACTCCGAAGAGTGTCTAAAACATGGTTACACCCTCAATAATAGCTCCCTTTCCACAGTTTTTAATACCAGCTATTTATAATTAGGATATCTTTAATAAAATTTCTCCAAGTCACTTCCTGGTAATTATATAGAATCACTAACGCTAGAGGTTAAAAAACCAATCTATTAAAATCCTACCATCTTAACAAACTCTTTCTTGATTGGGTGCAAATTAGACAGTACTTTTTTTTGTTCCTTACCCAGCGCTCTCTACTCATGGCATGGCTTAACACAACACAGTTTGTGGCACTGCTTACTTTAGACATACTCCCCACTAAAAATATTTGCAGAAGGCTTTAGTGAATCTCTTTTCTCCTTGGATTGTTGTTGTTGAACGCCGTAGAGTTGATTTCGACTCATAGTGAACCCGTGTGACAGAACAGAACTGCCCCGTAGGATTTTCTAGGCTATAATCTTTACAGTAGCAGATGGCCAGGTCTTTCTCCTGCGGAGCGGCTGGTGGCTTTGAACCAACAACCTTTCGGTTAGCAGCTGAGTGCTTAACCATTGTGCTGCCAGGGCTCCTTCTTTTCTCCCTAGAATAATGAATTCTTTAGCAATACTAAGACTATATTAAAATGGGGGGGTGGAGGAGGGAGTGGAAAGACACTACCACATTTCAGTGACTGCTTTTAGAAATTCAGACTTGCTTTGAAAGGAGAACGCTGCAGTTCTTACCACATTATTAATTGCTAACCTGTTAACTATTCCAATTATTCCAAGTTTGACTGGTATAACCCTTCCCATCAATACATCCATGGCATCAGTACCCGCATCCATGAGATCAAGTTTAGTGATTACAGCTAAGGTTCTGCGACCTGGTAAATGAAAAAAAGAAAATGACCTTGGAAAAGCCATTAAATATTAAATAAAAGAAAATCCTCATCTATAATCCCACCTAACATTACCTCTGTCATAAATTTTGGTATAATGTTTTGTTTATAAATACTTTAAAAATTTTTCACATGTAATTTATTAGCTCCCAGGACTTTTTTATAAGCATTTTAAATTTTTTTTTAAATTACATTAGAATTTATTCTTTTTTGGTATACAGTTCTATGAGTTTTAACAAATGTGAAGAGTTATGTCACTACCACCTCAAGACACAGAACAGTTCCATTACTTCCCCAATTTTCTTGTGCTACCCAGTAAAACCCCCTTTCTATCCCTAGTTTTGCCTTTTCCAGAATGTTATGTAAATGGAATCATACAGTACGTAGCCTTTTGAGTCTGGCTGCTTTTACTTAGCATAATGCATTTGAGAGTCTTTCGTGTTGTTGCATTTATCAGTAGTTTACTCCTTTTATTGCTGAGTAGTGTTTATTCCATTGTATGGATGTACTACAGTTTAGTTATTCATTTACCATTTGAATTGTTTCTAGTTTTTGGAGATTATGAATAAAGCTGCTGTAACTATTTGCATACAGGTTTTATAGGAATGTATGTTTTCATTTAACTTGAGTAAGTATCTAGGAATGGGATTGCTGATTTAACTATATAAGAAACTGCCAAACTGTTTTCCAAAGTGGCTGTACCATTTTGTATTTCCAGCAGTAATGTTTGAGAGTTCCAGCTGCTTGGCAAATGTACACTTTTACTTAGGATATTTTTCAATTATAAGAATTCTTCTATATTGCTCCAAATCTACAAAATCACCCTTTTTAATGATTTCACATTACCCTGTTATTGGCAAACATCTTAATTTGCTTAATCATTCCTACTGTTGGCATTTTAGGTTGATTGTAATTTTTTGATACTGTAAATAATACTAGATTGGATTATTCCTGATATTTCCTAAAATTAAGATTACTAGATCATAACTATGATCATATTTATGGCTTAAGGGTTGGCTTAAAATATAATTAATGCATATAAAATGCTTAACAGTATACTTTAAATCAAGACATGAGAAATCCTTTGATACAGTTTATCTTTTAATCTAACTGAAATGAACATGAATTACTCATGCAGTAAAAATATTTATTAAAAACAAAATAAAAAATTATTTTTTCTACATTTCCCACTGTGCTTATGGAAATTTTATTTAGCAATCTCAGCACTAACATTTCCTATCAAATTTGTATTCAAAATTCTAAAAAGCAGAAGAGAAACATGACAGCCCATAGACCTTCCAAATACTCAAGTAAAATAATTTGCTTTGTTATGGGGCAAAACATACATTTATCAGCAGCAATAATAACCACTGTTTTACAAGCTGGTTTTTTATATACAATAAAAGATACACATGACATTATTAATCAAGTATCTTACACTGACCCACAGAATGAACTAACCCTCAGGGTTACAGATGCTTCACAAAAGAATTTTACCTTTACTTCTAAGAATCCTCTCTGACTTGAGCATGTCTAAACATTTTCTACCCTGTAGAATGTAGCTATTATAATGACTATACCATAACAATCTACCATGATTATCTACTATGAGAGTTATCAATTCTTAGAAGCCGGCCATTCAAAAACCTAAATAGTTTTACTTATACAAAACAAGAAACCTTTTTGAAAAGGCATTTTGTAATTTAAAAGTTATTAGGTAACCATTACAAATATGGATACTATGTGAAGTATTTTTGCCTGGCCTGTACAGCAACTCATTCATTCTGTATTTTCCACCAGAATTTCTATTTGAAATTATAAGCAAAATAGGAAAGCATTATTTTTTAAGTCTATATTAACAACTAGAGATACTTGTTTTAAAAATAAAAATTACTTTCTTGAGGGTAGATTTAACTTTGTAAATCAAGCATCTCATTACATATTAACATCTGTCCTTACCATCTGGATCCACCTCTCTTGAAATTTTAAGAGCCTCTGATGTTGCCATATCTGTATTAGCAGCAGTGACAGCGAGGATAATGGAATTTGGATTACTGATAAACCGAAGAATGAGCTCTCTGATTTGAAGCTCAATATCCTTAGGTTGATCACCTACAGGCACCTAAACCAAACAGAGATGAGCAAGGAACTAAAAATTGATTGACCTTTTTTTCTGTTCATTTTCCATTTAATCCACAGAATATAGATATTACTCCATTTATAGTCAAAAATAAGAAATAATATACTACAGTGGTATTTATGAATTTTGCAATGTACGAAAGTCTCAAAATATAATCCTTATAAATATCAAAAGTTTATCTTTGTGCAGAAGTTTACATAGCACAATCTCATGTTAAGGATTGGTCAGTGTTAACTGCCTAAAGACAAATTCATTCATTCAACTGAGAAGTATTTATTGCAGCCTACTATATTTTAGGCACTGTTCTACATATCAGATTGTCACAATAGTGAACCCAAAACAGACCAAAATTCCTGCCCTCACAGAGCTCATATTTTAGTGATGAAGGCAGACAATAAACAAATGTGTGTGTGTGTGTGTGTGTGTGTGTGTGTGTGTGTGTGTGTAGTTGTTAGGTGCCATTGAGTTGGTTCTGACTCATAGCAACCCTACATACAACAGAACGAAACACTGCCCGGTCCTGTGCCGTCCTCACAGTAGTTGTTATGCTTGAATCCATCATTGCAGCCACTGTGTCAGTCCATCTCGTTGAGGGTCTTCCTCTTTTTGGCTGACCCTCTACTAAGCATGATGTCCTTCTCCAGGGACTGATCCCTCCTGATAACATACCCAAAGTATGTGCGATGTAGTCTCACCATCCTTGCTTCTAAGGAGCAGTCTGGCTGTACGTCTTCCAAGACAGATTTATTTGTTCTTTTGGCAGTCCATGGTGTATTCAATATTCTCTGCCAACATCACAATTCAAAGGCGTCAATTCTTCTCTGGTCTTCCTTATTCACTGTCCAGCTTTTGCATGCATATGAGGCGACTGAAAACACCATGGCTTGGGTCAGGTGCACCTTAGTCTTCAAGGTGACATCTTTGCTTTTCAACACTTTAAAGAGGTCTTTTGCAGCAGATTTGCCTAGTGCAATGCGTCTTTTGATTTCTTGACTGGTACTTCCGTGGGTGTTGATTGTGGATCCAAGTAAAGTGAAATCCTTGACAACTTCAATCTTTTCTCTGTATTATATATTGTTGTTGTTGTGTGCCACAGATTTGATTCCAACTCATAGCGACCCTATAGGACAGAGTATAAGTGCCCTATAGGGTTTCTGTTTTATGGGAGCAGCTTGCCACATCTTTCTCCTGCGTAGTGGCTGGTGAGTTTGAACTGCCTAGTAGACATTTAAGTGTATATGTCAAGTAGGCAGTTGGATATACAAGTCTATGAGTGTTGTCTGCATACAGACATTCATATACTTAAAGCCATAAGATTTGATGAACTCAAGGGGTTAAGTGCATCTAGAAAAGGTAAGTGATCTAAGAGCTGGGCTCTGGGGCACTCACTGTTTAGACACTGGGGAGATAAGAAGAAACCAGCAAAACAGACTGAGAAGAAGTGGCCAGAGAGATTGGAGGTAAACTTGTAGGGTGTGGTATCCTAGAAGCCAAGTAAAGGAAGTGTTTCAAGAAGGGAGGGCTGGACTATGTCAAATGCTGCTAACAGATCAAGTGTGGTGGCAAAAAAAGCCGATTCTTCTCATACGAGATTAAGGAAAAAACCCCATTGGTTCAACTGAAAACAAACATTACCAAATCCACAATGAATAACAACTATTCCATACCTTGGTCATTCCTGGCAAATCCACAAGTGTCAAATTAACAACGTGGGGTGAAAATATCTTAAGATGGATCGGTTCAGGGCTTACTCCCTAAAAATGTTTTAAAATATTCTATTAAAATCACATTAAATTTCAGTGAAACATGAAATATTAAAGTAAACTTCATTTCCCGTAGATAGACATTAACCTCCCAGCCCCCCATAAAAACCGGTTGCTACTGAGTTGACTCTGACTCATGGTGACCCCCCCTGTGTGTCAGAGTAGAACTGTGTTCCATAGGATGTTCAATGGCTGATTTTTTGGAAGTAACAGACATTAGATGCTTTTAAATATGAATTAAACCATGATCCCTAAAACATTTCAACAATTAAAACCTGATGAAACACATAGGAAGTAAGGCAGCTAACCATATAGCAGGTTATAATCCTATCAAACCCTATACCATTAATGTAATTATTTTTCCTACACAATTGCATTCTTTTCTCTTAATTCTAAGCTGATACAATTTCTTAAATATGTTTAATACACTTAGTGCTAAACAAAAGAATAACCTATCCCCCACTATGCAAATTTATTAGGTTCCTGTGTTCAGAGAGAGAAGGGCAGATAGCAAGTTATCCAAATCATTTTGGTTCCCAAGCTTTAAACATCAAGTGTCAAGAGTGTGTATGGTAAGGGATTCATCAGAATCTTTAGACCCCTAAATTCAAATAATAAGAATGTAGATAGTGAGAGATATGTATTTTCTCTCCACTAGACTTAGTGGAGAAGACATCCCTCACCTTAGCACCAACCTTCCACAAGTTTTAGGATTCGGTAAATTCCATGTAGAATGATATTTACAAGATATTCACAACTTGTCTTTAAATGTCCTCCCATCTATGTATCTACCTTATGTATCTTTCTTTATTAACTCACGGAAAATTCTCATTATCCAGGAAGCTTTTCTAGAATATTCTTTATTCTGAGTTCCCTATGCACTTACATTTGCTGTATTATATTACTCTGAACTACGTTTCTATTTTAAATACTCCTGTGTTCTCAAGTCATATGTCGATATTCTACATCCCTACCTAGGTTGTTTATTTCTCAGGATCTTTATTGCCATGTAATTTCCCTACCATGTTCAATGCAATACTTTGCCCCATATGGCAAGACATTTTCTGTGCTTTTTTTCCTTACTGAGCAGCCTGTCACTTCCCCGCAAATACCTTTACAACTCCAATCTCATAGATATTTCAAGTCCTTCAGGGCTTTATGTTAGGTGTATGAAATAATTCACATATTCAGACATATAAAACTACTCGCATAAGATCAGAGTATCATTTACTTCATTACACACATTATTTAGAAAAGAAGAGATATTCATAGATCTGGGCATATAAGATTCCTCATCTTTGAGACATTGTAGATCAAAGCCTGCTAAGTAAGTAAACTATATCCTCAGCATTAACTGAACATTTTGTAGGTATATAGACTCACTTTTTCGTGACATTCAGTTTAGTGTAACTAAAAACTTTCCTTTCATAATCAATAGTCTCACATCCACTCTAAATTTTGGTCCTGTGCAAAATTACCACCAATTCCTGAGTTCAGTGAATCCAAGGGGATCACAGGAAAGATAATCCAGACTGGTGGTATGATTAAGAATATGCCGGAAGCAAAAATCAACCCTGATATAATTACAGGACTGGGGACGAGCTAATCTAGTTATCTGCCACTTTTTCTACCTCTTCTATACAACACAGTTATTAGAAATTCAGGAAAGGATGATAGCAATGGCAATAAGTTAATGGTTACCAGCCTAGAGTTCAATAATAAACAAAGCTTAGTGAACCACTAAAACAGAAACAAATTTCCTGAATAGACATAAAGACTTAATAGGGCTCCAAAAATGCCTTTTCTTTTTTGGTCAGGAAACAACCTTCCCAGCACAGTATTTTGCAGATACAAGGGCTCAAGAGAGATTTGCTGAATGCTAGTACTAGGCTAGGGCCCTCTTGTGAGACTAAGTCTGTGGCTGCCACATGTGCCTTCAGATAAAATACAAGAATGGCAGTAAAAACAAAAAGGAAGGGAACAGAGAGAAAAGTAATAGGAATAAAGAAAGGAGAGAAAAGAGAAGCATTTAGGGGGAGGCAGGGAGAGCACCTGGTGTCAACATAAGTAGTATCTTAGACAGCCAATTTACTTTAGATTCTAACAATCTTAGAAAATAAAGTAATTCAGTTGTTAACTTGCTACTTTTCATTTTTCACTAAAAAATTTACTTATCTCTTTGCTTCTGTAAGTTAATCTGGCCTGACTCAGGTAGGAAAAAGAGGTCTCCAAAATACATGTACCTCATAAATTATGATTCTTGAGTCAGATTACAATCAGTCCATCATAAAAAGATAGTTTGTTGTAACAGTATTAAGTAAAATAATTATGTAATAAAGTGGCATGTACACAATAGGATCAAGAATAAACATCCAAATGAAATATTTCACAGTATGTAAAAGTTCTATGAAACAGATAAAAGGGATTTTAAGCAAAGTTTTTATATACTTGTGAAAATATTTCATTTTTCTCATCAGATCCTTTCAAAGACCAGGATTATGCAAAAGGCTTGTTCTCACTAACTGGAAGGCTGGCAGTTCAAACCCATCCAGTGACAGAGAGGACAAGCGATCGGCTTCCATAAAGATTACAGCCAAGAAAACCCTATGGAGCTCAGTTCTACTCTTTAAATAACACACGGGTTTGCCACGAGTTGGAACTGACTTGATGGCAACAGGTTTGTTTTTGAGTTTTTGGCCAGACAACATTATATAAATAACTCCCTCAATGATGTATTTATTAATGATCATGCTTTCCAGCTCTAAAAGGATGCCTACCTTATTATTTCCTGAAATTCTTTCTGTTTCATTTTCAATTTCTTGTCGAATTTCATCAAAATCCGTGTAAAGCTAAAAATTGTTGAAAAAAAGAGCATGATATTCAAAATGAAATAAAAAGTTCTTAAGGGTGGCTGCGGGGGGGGGGGTCCATAAACTTGAAGGATGTCTGTGGATTTGCTTCACAGAATTAGTGAACAAAATCTAATATATGCATATATTTTTCTAAGACAAGGATTCATAGTTTTTTTGAGCTTTTCAAAGCTGCCTGATCCCAAAACAGTTAAGCATCTCTAAATTAGAGAGAATCAAGCTAAGAAACTAAATTATCAACTACTTGCACACACACAAAAAATTATTTTCAATATGTTATTTCTTCATTATATATTCTGTGTGATTACCTTATTTTTGGTGTGAAGAAATTTACCCCATTCTTCCGCTTCAACCCCTGGAAAAAGAAAAAATCATTTATTGGTAACTACGGAAATTACTTGTTACCTTTAGTTAGGGATTCAAAAAGGCAACATAATAAGTTGTCATTTGTTCCTATTTTGCCATTAACTGTAAGTTATGTGTTGTAAACCTGCTAAATTATACTTTTAAAAATTCTATCATGTATTTCAAAGACATGACTAACTTCAGGTAGACGAGCTCACAGGCCCTCCAATTATTTGAAATCTGGATTTCATGAATAAAATTGTTCACTTCTCAGTTTGTATGTAATCATATTCTATTAAAAGGCATATTCTTTTTTTTAAACATCTTACACATAAAAGCATTATTATCCAAAAAAAATACTCAATAAAGAATCCTACTGAGTAACACAAAAGCACATATAATAAATAAATTTACACACATAACTGGAGATTAAAAAAATTATAATATGTGAATGAAACTACTGATTTTTCAAACTAATTTGTTTTGTTTCCTGTTACCTATAAAGTCACAATTTGTTGTTCCTTTACAGAGCTCTCTTAGTAACCTGGAACTGCTCTGGAATTTTTATGCACTTTCAAGGTGATTTTTTTCCCAAGGGCTGAGACAATGTTTTCCCTTGGAATTGTAGGTGGGAAAGAAATGAAATGGAGAAAAACAAACAAAAACATCCTGGCATATGCACTGTCTGGAGTTTCCAGTTTCCAATCTTAGGTCCGTTACTTCTGTACTTGCTAGAGAAAAGGAAAACACATTTAGCGTATACACTGTGTGAAGTGGTCTAAAACTTGGAGAGCAAGTTTTGTTCTCTTTTTCCCAGAGAAGCTAGAAATGTTTAATTATAGGAAGATAATCTAACTTTGCCTCCCTCAGGCACAGCTATTTTGCTTTTGCTAAATTCAGAGTAGTTTTACATTTTGTAACAATTAAGCTTGTCGAATAATGCTTATCAGCCACCTGAAGTCAAAATAAACATGACTAAGATATTCAGATGAATATTTATTGAGAAAAAGCTAGATCAAGTCTTTGGTGGAATAAAGGTAAATAAAACTGGATCCTTTTCGCAAGTAAAATGCTCACCTACTTGAAGCTTAGTACCTTCTTCCAAGAAGTCTCATGGAAGGACTGGAGTAATCTAGGTAAAAAGAACTCACAGAGGCAGGGTACTACATACCAAAGGGTGTGTTTAATTTACCGTATCATATAAAGGAGGCCTGGCTTCACAAGCATGTTTTTAAAAATAAAAATAACATTACATTCACCACCAAAAAAGCTTGCATTTTGATGCAATGTCAAAAAGATAACAAGAACCACTAACACCTGCAATCAATGTGGCTAGGCAAATAAAAATGGAAGGAAAAAAAAATGCACACAGCCTGTAAGAGTACAGAAGCACACATGCAGGCATGATAGAAAAAGGGCCAAAAACAAATGGAAAAAGGAAACCTTTAGAAAGGTGTCTTGAGTTTTTCCATGTAGCAGGGTCTGTAGTTAAAGAGAAACAGCACAGAATGATAAGTTTAGTGCTTAGCACAGAATGATAAGTTTAGTGCTTATCACTAAAATTTTAAACCTTTTAAAAAAACCAAATGTGCAGAAACCTAAACACATTTCAAATGCACACAACATTGAATTATTCAAAATTTACATCTAGAATTAGAGAGACGTATATAATTTTAAAAAGTAGGACATAAGCCAAGCATATTGTGTGCCATTTTTACCCTTAACATTTTTAGAAAACAAACTTTCATTACAATTATGTCGTTGCTGGTTTCTAACTCTGACACAAATGGATTAAAATTAATCCTCTATTAAAAAATTTGCCCTTAAATATTTGATAACCTACTACTGGAAAAGATGAATTACCTGAAAAGAATCTACAAAATATACTAAACACATCTTTCACAGACTTAATAAGTGTATACAAGCACTTACCCTATTAGCTAAGACAGAGCTTTATAAGGGGTTATTTTCTTTGAAGTACATATTGAATTTAACAGAACAACCCAAAAAGTAACTCTTCACTTTCAGGGATTCAATCCAAAGGGCAACTACCACTGCTTGTACCACAAGCCTCTGTGCAGAAAAATTGGTCCTGCCTTTCCCCTTAATTCTTATTTATAATTTTTCTTCCTTTTGGGGGCAACTGATTACTTTTACAAATAGATAACTAAATAGAGGTAATAAATTACACCCATATTTTTAGGAATTGTTCTACTAAGCATATACATTTGTATAAAACAAAAACAAAAACATTTTGCTTTAGTTCAACAACTTGTCTTTCCCCAACATGAACTCTAATAATTTTCAAAATATCCACTGACATTGTTCAGAGGTAGAATATATAGCAGCACAATTTTGGTCTTTAATCAGCATGCCACTTGTAGATTCTGTCTAAAGGGGAAATCTGAGGAAAGCTTGATTTATTTCTTACAAACATATGAAAATAGTTGTGGAGTGCAAAGTTCAAACTAAACTACCACCCTACTCTAAAAAGGTTTCATTTTGTTTTGTTTTTAGTAAGAATTTAAGAGAAAATTCTTTCACATTGGCAGAAGTGGAAGTCAAGCTGAAAAATTTTATACAAAATCCCATAAATCTATATATTGACGCCCCAATTATCCTGCATAGTTAGGGGAATAAAAGATCTCACATTAACCTTTCCTGATAATTAAATTATACATATTTAAACAATGAAATATTTATTTTAGCCAGTTTTTTTAATTGTACTTCAGGTGAAGGCTTACAGAAAAAATAGTTTCTCATGAAACAGTAGTACACATATTGTTTTATGACATTGGTTAACAACCCCACGACATGTCAACCCTCTTATTTTAGCCAGTTTTCATGGACCTGTATCTAAAACGGATTACACTTCTCTATGTCATTTTAGAATGCACTGTTCTTAAATTAGCCTATTAGTGATAAGGCAGGCCTTTTTACATAACAAAGCCCTCAGGGGATATAAATCCCTATACAAAATGGTCAGAGACTGATGTTTTTCCTTTATTTTGAAGTTCTTCTGTCTGCTTATGTTTTTTTTCCCCTTTCTCATCTCTCGTCCTCTTTCTGCTCTCTCGTCACGTGTTCCATACTCTTCTCACTAACTATATCTTTACCTACTTCACTGTTTCTAATTTCCTCTGAGTTAGAATGACTTATGACAGGCTAGAATTATTTATTCCAAAGATAAAGAGGCTCTGATGAGAAACTAAGGAACTATCCTAGAATAAGACACATTTAGTACTCAAAATTCATGAACTCTTTTGTGTCCTGAATAATCCAGTTGAGTTGTTGTTATAAGTGAGGGTTTTGTTGTTGTTGTTGTTGTTTTAATATGAGAAATAAGCACTAAGCTTGGCGGGGGAGAATGCATATATCTATATACACACACACACACACACACACACACACACACACACACACGTAAAGATAAGCAGACTTACTGACCATCCACTAAGAAGAGATGTCAACAAAAGATAGCAGATATACGAACAAAGAGGTAACAAGGAGGTCACACTTCTATAGCTGAAATGTACAGGCATACCTCAAAGATATTGCTGGTTTGGTTCTAGACCACTGCAATAAAGCACATATCACAAAGAAGCGAATCATATGAATTTTTTTGTTTCCCAGTGCATATAAAAGTTATGTTTACACTATACTCTATTAAGTGTGCAATAGCATTACGTGTAAAAAGACAATGTACATGCCTTAATAAAAAATACTTTATTGCTAAAAAATGCTAACCATCATCTGAGCCTTTAGCGAGTCATCTTTTTGCTGGTGGAGGGTCCTGCCTCAGTGTTGATGGCTGCTGACTGATCAGGGTGGTAGTTGCTGAAGGATGGGGTGGCTGTGACAATTTCTTAAAATAAGACAACAATAAAGTTTGCTGCATCGACTGACTCTTCTTTTCATGAAATATTTCTCTGTAGTATGTGTTGCTATTTGATAGCATTTTATCCACAGTAGAACTCATCTCTCTCAGCCTTTATAGAATTGAAGAGAGTTAGGTTCTTGCTCTGGATTAGGATTTGGCTTAAGGGAATGTTGTGGCTGGTTTGATCTTTTAATCAGACCACTAAAACTTTCTCCATATCAACCATAAGGCTGTTTCACTTTTGTCATGGATTGAATTATGTCCCCACAAAAATGTGTGTATCAAATTTGGCTGGGCCATGATTCCTGGTATTGTGTGCTTTTCCTATATGTTGTAAACCCTGCCTCTATGATGTTAATGAGGGAAGATGGGTGGCAGTTATGTTAGTAAGGCAGGACTCAATCTACAAGATTGGACTGTGTCCTGAGGCAATCTCTTGAGATATAAAAGAGAGAAGTGAGCAGAGAGACAGGCAGACCTCATACCACCAAGAAAGCAGGGCCAGGAGCAGAGCGTGTCCTTTGGACCCGGGGTCCCTGCATGGAGAAGCTCCTAGTCCGGGGGAACATAGGTGTGAGAAGGCTGACAGAGCGAGAAAGCCTTTCCCTGGAACTGACGCCTTGAATTTGGTCTTTTAGCCTACTTTACTGTGAAGAAATAAATTTCTCTTTGTTAATGCCATCCACTTGTATTTCTGTTGTAGCAGCACTAGATGACTAAGACAGCTTTCTTATCATTCGTGTGTTCACTGGCGTTGCACTTTTAATTTCCTTCAAGAAGTTTTCCTTTGCATTCACAACTTGGCTGTTTGGTGCCAGAGACCTAGCTTTCAGCCTGTCTTGGCTTTTGACATGCCTTACTCACTAAGTGTAACCATTTCTAGCTTTTGATTTAAAGTGAGAGACATGTAATTTTTCCTTTCACTTGAACACTTAGAGGCCACTGTAGGGTTATTAATTGGCCTAATTTCAATACTGTCATGTTTCAGGGAATAGGGAGGCCCGAGAAGGAGAGAAACAGGAGAATGGCTGGTTGGTGGAGCAGTCAGAACATACACAAATTTATCAATTAAGTTCAACATCTTATATGGCCGAGGTTCCTGATGCCCCAAAACAATTACCATAGTAACATCAAAGATCACTTATCACAGATCACCATAACGGATATAATAATAATGAAAAAGTTTGAAATATTTTGAGAATTACCAAAATGTGACAGAGACAGGAAGTTAGCATGTGCTGTTGGAAAAATGCTGCCAACAGACTTGCTCAACACAGGGTTGCCACAAACCTTCAATTTGTAAAACACGCAGTATCTGCGAAGCGCAATAAAACAAGGTATGCCTGTACATCCTTTTCTAATAAGCAAAGTTTTATCTAAGGAAACAATACCAACATTTGCAGATAGCTTTCTGAGAGTTAGGATATCAGCTGCCGTTTTCAAGGTTACTGAAAACAATTAAAAGTTAAGAAAGAGACATAGTGTCTTATAGTTTTTAAAGTCTTAGTTTAAGGTATTTGGTAAATTTGATGAAATCAGTAAGAATGAAATGTAGAATGTATTATTCTATATATTTGATGCTGAACATAGATTGTCCAAAATGATTAAAGGTTCAGAATTCAATAATAAAGAAATATTACAGAAATGCAAAGTGATGAATAATATGCCAAGAAGCTACCTGATATAATTAAAGCTCCTACATATCCTCTGGCAGTCTATCCAAAAATATTTGTTAACACCTACAACTTCATTAACTTGCATCAGTAATTAACTTTCTAGACTCAAAGTAGATGCTCAGCACAAATGTGATTTAAAAAAAAAAAAAACTCAAGTCATCACCCATTACTCCTATAATAAATGAATGAAGACTCAGATACAGAAATTAAAGTCACTTCAATTTCAAGAATACTATCATCCTGTCCTAGATCAGAATATAAGAAGTAGAATGAAACTTCATTGAAAAGCAGATCTTTGCAGCTAAGAAATAAACATGGTACTCTGCTGCAAATGTAATTTAATAATCAGAGCTATTTTGCAGGCTTTTATCAATAAGACAAAGTCAGAACTAAACACTGAACAAAACAGGAAGATAAAACATACTATTACTATCATCAGACATTTCAAAACTCATTAATACATTAAGTATGAGTAATATAGGATACGTATTTAATAAGCAACTTTAAAATAGACAGCATTTTAAAAAATATATTGCTTAACAAAAAAAAGAACTGCCTATAAAAAAGGACAGTGCTTATTTTCTTTTTTTAATACTCCACGTTTACTATTCATTGTTGTTGCTGTTAGGTGCCATTGAGTCGGTTCCAACTCATACCGACCTTATGAACAATAGAACGGAACATGCCCAGTCCTGTGCCACCCTCACAATCACTGCTATGCTTGAGCCCACTGCTGCAGCCACTGTGTCATTCCATCTCATTGAGGGTCTTCTTCTGTTTCACTGACCCTCTACTTTACCAAGCATGATGTCCCTCCTGAAAACAGGCCCAAAATACGTGAGATGAAGTCTCATCATCCT